TTTTCACCTTCGGCATGGGTGGAAGCGCATGTGTCGTCTCTATTGTTCGTCTTGCATTCTCCTTGGATTTTGACGCAACTGGTGATCCTAGCTGTAAGTCACCTTTCACTCCTTGGAAAACAAAGAGCTGTAGTATTAACGCTTATTTATAGATGATAACATACGTATGAGCCTTCTCTCACTAATTGAGCTAATGGCCGGCATTCTTGCTACGTCAATACCAACATACTGGCCATTATTTCGACATATTATGGCACTATGCAGTCCGTCTTTGATTAATTCATCAAATAATATCGATAGCAAAGATAGCAAATGGAACAGCGGTGGCAGTGCTCGCCCTAGTCCTCAAATATGTGCTGATATTTCGGCTGGGCAACTTGAAAGCAATTTTTCCGGTATCAATGTGACGAAACACATTGAGCTTACTAGATATACTAATATGGGAGGTAATTGGATTAAAGTTCCCGATGATATCCATAGAGGATGGAAATAGGGATAAGGGTATGGGGGTGATAAAATGGAAAAAGTTCAGAGTTACCAGAGATTGTGATAACTTCGTATATCAGCAGGGGGATCACGACATTAATGATATATTTATATTTGTCATTTATTTCCACTCGGCTTTTTCATGTAAATAAGACATTAGTTGCGTTCTTGGATTTTAACTATAATATATTTATTATAGGTTTTATCAAAAGTTTTGCTGAATGACCTTTGCCCGAGCGCCCGAGTTTACGAGGTGTTATTATGTTGAATTTGCTCTATTTTATAAAAGTAAACATCATGGCCTATTACGAGGCTGAAACAAAAAGGTGTTATTTATCGAAGATGATGTTCTGAGGAACTAAAGCATCAGATCCTTGCACCAAAGCTGGAAGGCTTGTTTATATACAGAAAAAGATAAAGGCCTTAGCTCAAGTAGTGAGTGATGATGTTATCTGGCGGACCGCTAGATAACATCGGTAAAATGTCCCCTAGACAATGCCCCTCGTAAATTCGGGCACACGTGTATGTCATAAGAGTAAAGTCTTTTTAAAACCCATGTCTAGAGTTTTATGGGATAGCAGCAAGGGCGCGAAACGAGAGGTAAAAACACACTTGAGTAATGTTCCCATATCGAAAGAGATCACTTATTCATATTAACTAATCTTAACTATCAAACATAGTCTCGTCGTTATTACCGTAGCGGCAGTGTATGGGTTTCAGGAAGGATTCCATGCGTAAATTATCATATTACCCATAATAATGGTTAAAATGGGAAATATGATATTTTATAAAATAATGATTATTTTTGAAAGAATCATTCCTGGGAAAGGAATGATTCCTTAGAACTGAAGGCTCTGATTGGTTGAAATAAGTGGGATTTGGGTCATGTGACCCCAAAAAACCTTAAAAATCAAAAAAGCTAGGATGCCTGGGACTCGAACCCCAGGCTCCTAGCCCCACCACAGCACGTCCCACTAATGCGGGAGTGTTTTGATTGAGCTAGCAGCTCTAGTAGGTGGCCAGTCCTCTAGTGCTGTTGAAAGTTTACCCGTTTTTGAACCTTATTACCCATACTTTCATTTTTTTAATATTGTAATAATATTTTATTCAATCAAGATTTTAATTCCCGTACAAAAAAGGATATCCCATACAAAAATCATTCCACCCCCCAAATATCATATCTCAAAACCACATTTTGCCGGTATGGTAATTTAAGAGGATGTTAGCGCCTCGAGTTACACGAGCGATAAATCAACCACATATAAAGATAAAAATAGGTCTACAGTATTGCAGGTATTTTTGGAAACTCACAGCCTTATTAGGTACACCGCCAATTACTGTCCTGTTGGAGGGACACAATATAACTTGTTATGTGGGGGCTAAGCATAAGTCTCACCCCAAATCGATGTGTGGTTACATACCTCAATACGACGGGGAAATGCAGGAAGCATGCGTATCAGACATGGTACGCCGTACCCTACACTATGATAATGATATAAATATGAAGGTACCGACCTACACCAGCGCCTTTCAAAGGCTCAATTGTTTAATTACTAGCTCATCGTAGAGATCACGGTGCGAGAGTATACGGTAGCATCAGCTATCAGTCTCGGCAGTCTTTAAAAAACACATTAGGTTATTTTTGACGAGATGTCAAGTAAATTTAATATATGCTATGCTACATAGCCCTCAGAGTTCTTACTGGATAGGTTAGGTGCCCATGTAGTCTCAATATCTAGTCGTTGGTGATAGGGGAAATATACTGCATATCGTATAATAGTATTGGCGGTAAGGTACACAAATCAAATCTTTCTAATATATACCTAACCACTGCCTTGCTTGCTCCTGGGGCGGCTATGGATTGGAGGTCTTCAAATTGAATTTCAGTCTTCGCCTATATCATACCGACACTTCCTTTCACGTTCTTCCACGAAAATTCGAGTCTCTCAAGCGATCCTGCAAAATTCAGATGTAAAGATGACACCGCGGCCATCGAAAGAGCAAATAGCTTATATGCTAGCACACAAGAATGACAGCTTAGTGCCTAATATTATCGTCGCCTGTTCAATTTGTGGTGTCGCATCTACCATCTTCGTACTTCTTCGTCTCTATTCGCAGTACCTAGTACGCCGCAAGTTCCGCGTAACGCAAAGCGATATTCTATTATTAATAGCTTGGGTAAGTATTACTAACTAATAACTAATGACTTAGTTTACGACTTTCATTTCATTTCATTCAACAAGCTAATGGTTTGCAGTGCTTCGCCGTAGCGTTTACCATTGGCCTAGCGATAATAGTTAAATATGGAGGAGGACGCCATGTTATCTTCGTTACGGACTCGCGCATGCTTAATATTTGGAAAGTGTGTGATGAGGTTCTGTATACTATATCGCTAGGTTTCATCAAGCTCAGTATCCTCAGGCTGTATGGGAGTATCTTCAAATCACGAAGATTCCACTGCTATCTTTGGATATTTGCTGTTCTGATGATTATATTCCATTTAACGGCCTCCATCATTGACATATTCGAATGCCGCCCTATTGCCTTTTCTTGGGATATAACTATCGAGCATGCTACATGCATAAACTATGGGCTTTTTGTTCTCTTGACCGGGGTCGTCAATATTATTACCGATTTTATTATTCTATGTGCTCCTATCCCATTAGTTTTAAGACTCCAGACATCGAAGAACAAGAAGCGGCTGTTAATTTTTACCTTTGCTATGGGTGGCAGTGCTTGCATAGTTTCTATTATACGCCTTGGGTTCAGCTTGACCTTTGATTCAACCGTTGATCCGAGCTGTAAGTCTAGTTCGATTCATAATCAATCTTTATTGTATGAGTCCAATTAACAATGCTTAACATAGATGATAACATACTTATCAGTCTTCTTTCTCTCATTGAGCTCATGGCGGGTATCCTTGCCACATCCATACCAACATACCGACCATTATTTCGACATATCGTACACGGCCTAACATCACACACTCAACAGACGGATTCTTCACCAAGTCACAATGATAGCAAGTATAGCAAAGACAGTAGCGGTGGGAGCATTAGTTGTAGCCCACCAAAGAAACTTGAGCTTGCTTATCAATGCTGGAGCTATCATGAGATGGAACCAAACAGGATGGCAACAACTTCGTTGTTTCGTTAGGAACTCTAACCTAACGAGGGCCTTCTAGAATCTTAATCCAGGGGCACTCTTTTCCTCCAAAGCTTCACTCTGGTCCAATCCTCTATTTCGTTTACTACTCGGATGATCGCCCGGTGATGCTCTTTTGTCCAACCCCCCTTAATTTCAATTAGTTTGGTTTCTTCATACGGGGGGGGTTTTTAATTGCTGCCAGGGTGGTATTTTTCGGATATCCATTCTTCTTTGGGGTATTCCGGGCTGTCTTCGATGATCTGGAGGCTTAGCGGTCACTTTCATGTTCTTGGGACCTTTGGGCGGATTTCTGTAAAACGGGTGCAGTCAGCTATCATAACCGCTTGCATCGTTTCCAAGTTTTGTTTCCCTTCGGCGTCGGTATCTAAACCCTTAGTAGTATGATGTTGGAATTCCTTATAGTAGTCAGAAATAGCTCGCATAAAGATAGGGAGCTATCTACTTTTGCAATAGTTTAGGACCATAAGAACAAAAGTGGCGTTATTCGTAGTATGAATAGTTGTCCCCTCCCCCCCCTACCCCCTAGTTATTTAAAGCGAAAGGGAATATTGCATCGATGCTCGGTTGCAAATAAGGGTTGATTGCACCAGGATTATTATACTTAGTTCAATGTTCGGAAATTTCATTATTATAATATATCTCGTTTTCAGCCTAAAATATTGGCCTGGATTTTTCGCAGGCCAATTAAGAGCCAGGCAAGTACCTATTACACCTTCTTGCAGGTACTACGCTACAGGATGTATATGCCCACAACATAAAAAAGAAACCTACGATACTTTTATTAAATTGCCTCCTAACTGATTCTTGCTAACCTCTAACCTAAGTCCCGTTTTGTACCTTTAAACTGTTAAAGAAACCAAGTCTCCTCCCGATGTATCCAAAGTCCTTAAAATCTCCAGCTATTCTCTTTTTCAGGATCTACAGGCATCGAGATAACTGCATATCCAGATAGACTATGATATTTGAATATAAGAGGGCTCTGTAGAAGTTTTTTATTCTCCTAACTAGATTCAATGATGCCATGAATACCTAGTGAACATCACTATTTTTTTATTGACATTTTGATCTCGTGATATGTAGATACAGTCAACTGCATAATGAACAGTTCATGTATCTAAATAAAATATATTAGAATTTTTTAAATAATCTTTATACAATTATATATTTTACAATTTCTTACAATTTTAAAGCGTTTACAATCTTTCACCTCTTCACCAATCCGACACCTACATCCTAAAGTACAAAAATGACCCAGCCTTTTAAATACTGGTGATCTCCCGGGCCTCAAAGGCGTTAAAATCTCCTTCAGCACAATCCCTTCTTTAAAACATAAGTCACTAGAATCGCTATCGCAGCACGAGATCACCGGTAAGAAATACACGGTGGTTTTCATCTTCATCATCGTCCGCCATTCTGGCCCAGCATTGTCCCAGTCAATATTCCGTCCTATGTTCCCCTTGGACTCGTTACGAATCTGGATGCTATCTGTATAAATGCTGTCAAATGCAACATGCAAGATCCCTCCAGTAACGTTTCCGTAGGTACCGTCCTTCTTGCTGATAAGTTTCGTCTCAGCCTTCAGAACAGTGACGAGTCTATCCCAGCGGCAAGACGGATCGCCGTCGCCAGCTTCAACATCGAACGCGACGCCATACTCAACGGGATCGTTCGTAGAAGCCCACGACCAAGAGGGCGCGAGGTACTCCCCAGGCCTAGCGCGGCGATATTCATCATCCGCTTTCGTATTCGGGCGTATTACATACCATAGTAGTTGCGTTTCTATGTTCTTACGCCATAACCCCGCCAAGTACTCATCTCCTTTCGGCTCATTCCAGCTAGACTTGTTGATACGGAGAGATACCTCCTGCTCATGGATCCAGCGTGCCACACCAGAGATAGCCACGAGTTTATCAGACTGGCGCGTCAACTTGGTCCGAGAGTACATTGAGACGCACTGAGCCCATATCTCTGCGAGGGTCGAGATGGAATTCCTTTCCCCGTGCTCCATAGAGAGCAAGAACTCGTAAGGCAACCGGGGGTTCCAGAAACCCCGCATAGCGGATCTTAGTGCTACATCGTGTGCCCGATTAGGAGCTGTCGTTACTTCTACGATTGGACGAAGGTTCCTCGGGTGGTATTGAGACGGCACACCGTTTGGAAACGTTTCACAGCGGCTCATCGCCTGACACTCCCAAAATATCTGCGGCTCAGCAAAGTGCAAGGTCCGAGGAGCAAGGAACCGCTCCTGGAAACACCACGCGCGGGATACGAGCGGTGACTCCTCGATGCCGCGATTGTAAATGTCTGAACTAACGATATCGACCAAGTAATTTTTAGTAGTGTCATCAGCATCATCATCACTATTACCATTGGTTATTGGTGCGTTTCCTTTATGGATAAGTCGAACGCGGACTCTAGGAAGCTGCCGAATAAGCCGTTCGTCTCGCTCGAAAAAGCAACCGACGGTGCCGTCACGAGCGCCCGTAGCTGCTATATTAAGACTCGAGCAACCGTACACGTCAGCCATCTTGACGGACTCTCGTAGCCAATCATCTGTATCGTCCTGGACGATACACAGCGAATCAATCCATAAGTATTCGATGCCAAAATATCGAGCTACCATAATGGCATCTCGGTAAGTCTTGGGAAGCTGAGCCTTCGGTATATTGCGCAAGAAATCGTTCTTATTGCTGCATAACAACATAAGATGACGCGCCGTCCCCCAACAGTGACTTAAAGTAGCGTATCGGGGGTAATTGGGCAATAAGTCTGAGGTGGGGACGAGGCGAATAGAATCATCCTCTCCTCTGATATGGAGGAGGCAAGCGGGATAGCTCTTGGGTTGTCGAACTTCGCAGGAGTCATGAGACTCGCAACATTCATTGAACCATGACTTCGCTAAATCGAGTGTTTCGGGGTCACCAGTCGAGTGAGTAAAGCTTGAAGAATCGCCTTATTATAAATATAAGCTTATAAAGTGCACCAAAAAATATCGGCGCCATATAGCTAGATTCCCAGCATATGAAGGAAAAGGGGTTACTCACTGAATGCACATGGCGGAAGCAAGTAAATAGTAGCTCCTTCACCGATCCACTCTTCCTTATTCGTAGCTACGCAATGCAACACAAAAGTATCGCGGTTGCTATCGAAAAAACCGAGCCTAGCCACTAAACTGACATCCTCTCTCCCACGGAGGGTCTGAAGCTCTGTGTCTGAGTGAGCGACAAGGATCATGTCGCATAATGAGCACCCCGTGGAAGCTACGGTAGCTTCGAGGTCTATAATGGAGGTATGATACGGTATTTTCATCCAGATATCTAGGCCAGGTTCGAACGTGAACAGTCCGCATACAATGTTGGTGCAGTAGTGACATAGGTTAGAACCTATGGCGAGCTCCCATGATGATGTATTATTCCCCGACTTGCGCGGTGAATGTGCGTCCGTTGACTCCGCTAGTGATTGATTTTCAGCCGACTCAGGTGATACACTTCTTTTTTTAGATGATCTTTTGAAGCGATCCTTTAAGAGCCCGCGTAGTGGAGGAAGTCCGTTCGGGTATGGCCGAAACTTTTGCCAAGTCGTTTTGAGCTTCATTGTTAGAGCTTGCAATGATGCCCAAGCTACTTGACCGATATTGCCCAAATAGGGGTTCAAACAGAAAGTCTTTGGAAAGGGCTGAATACCTAAATAAGTTGTCAACGTCCTAATATATATAATATCCTACCCATGGCAAATTCGTGGAAGATTGGGATTGGTTATGTTTGGTGGGCCACGAGAGCGAAATGTCTAACGTCCAATAGTTATAAGCAAGCTTCACCTTTGCCAGAAAATAAGATATTAGTCATTATTATTATCTTATTATCTTAGCTAACCTTAGATTTAAGTCTTGTAAAAGCAGGCTGTGCTTACTTGAACTGCGCAACATATCACACAACAAATTGGTATAATTAAAACGTTATACAAGTTTCGAGTTTTAATTTCATATGAGGAAATACGGACCATTATATTTAATTCATCCCGTCGGCATCTTCCAGTATGACCTTAGCTGCCTTCTTCGATATCATGAATGTAGGGAGAACAGGGAATGCGCCAGGGGGTTTAGGAAAGACTGATGCGTCAACCACACGAAGGCGGTTTACTCCCTTGACGCGGAATCTTGAGTCCAATACACTACCAATTGCACACGTTCCAGTCGCATGGTGTGAATAAGCCTGTAACTTCAGATATTCCTTAATATCCTGGTCGGTACATTTGGTTTCACTTGTGCAAGGATGAAGTTCGTCGAAAGGGGCCAGTCCGGAGCTTCCAAGCAAGCCTTTGATATTCTGGCCGAATTTTACAGCCTCAAGCATAGCTTGCAGGTCCTCGTCGCTATCCTCTTCGAAGAATTGAAAGTTTATCTCAGGTTGTTCAAACGGATCTGTGGAGCGCAGGGTGACAGTGCCCCGATTTGAGCTATGTGAATCCATAAGGATAAACGGAAGAGTAAACGCGCTTGGGCCGCGGTTCGAGGGATACCCAGGCCAGAAGCCCTCAAATGCAGAGTTTACCGGCCTGATGAAGTTGGATTGTTAGCTACCTCCTAAAGTAGATGGTGTATATTCGTTCTGGGGTAAGTTTACCATAAAAATATGTCACGATTTTGCGTTGAAGCAGATGTTTTCAACTGCACAGCATAAGGTTTACCAAAACCCTCAAATGGCTTTGATGCGAGTGACAAGACGCCGCCCTCATAATTATCCCCAAGATTTTCGCCAATGCCCGGAACATCTGCTACCACGGTGATGTTGTGCTTGTTGAGTTCCTCCGCCGGACCAACGCCACTAAGTTTCAAAATTTGAGGAGTATTAAAAGCCCCAGCAGAGATAATCAATTCTTTACCGACCCAGCTAAAGCCAGCGGTGGTGTTTCGGCTCGGGTCATACCGAGGGTCAGCTTTGTACGCGCTGGGACCGACAACGTAGTCTATTGACATTACGGCAGGAGGACCTTGTAACTGATCCCACGAGATCTTTGTGAGAAATGCGTTAAGTTGAACGGTAAGTGGGAGGTCTGGATTTTCTTCAAATGCCTTCTTAATATAATTCGCTGGACTAAAACGCCTGCCAGCTGAATCAGTATGAGTAGCCATGGCGAAAATTCCTGTCATCTGGTCGCGGTTAGGCTCGACTCCATTGACGTCTCTATTTAACAAGGCTTTCAGTTCAGCGTCTGATATTGCGGATCCAGTGCCGTTTCCTATTGAACCAGTCAATTCCGCTATAGCTTTTAGGACTGTAGCCCCGTCGGTAGCGTTGCTCAGCCAGGAACCATCGTTTTGGTTAGTCTCAAGCCAACCTGAAAATCCATGGCCTGCCGAACCTTTCGGTAAATAATTACAATTTTCGATCTCTTCGTAAATCTTTCTCATTTCAGAAGCCTTCCATGAGTCATCGCTGGTGATATTAGCTATATAATTCCAAATATCGTCACTCGGCATTTGGAGAATGGCGGCGTTATGCATTGCACATCCACCCAGAGTTGCTGCTCTTGGATACCACACGCCTAGGTGCTGGCTTCCTCTCGGAGGATCTAAGCCAACATATAAAGAGCCGTTGGTGGTACGCCAGGTCGTATGCTCATATTTCAATTCCCTCTCAGAATCATTGGAGTGTTTCACGAAGAAATCCCATCTTGTCCTTGGATCGTTGCTCGCCTCCGTAGCTTTGTCGAGATCTTGATACAATGGATCTTCGGAGAGGTCTGATCCGGCTTCTAAGAGAAGTACTGTATAACCGGCCTTCGCGAGTTCTACTGCTAATGGCCCTCCTCCAGCCCCGCTACCTGCAATGACATACTGATATTCTGATTGACCTATTACGTATTTCGTCCCAAAGGCCAGAGCCACAAGGAAGTACGAAATGAGTCTCATCTCTTACGTGATATGAGTATTGATATTACTACTTATTCTTAAAACTAGTCGAACTACGTATGTTAGCGCGGGAAAGGTTCTCTCTTTATTATAACCCCTTTTTTATGATAATGGCAATCATCTTATCTCCTCCCTTCATCACGATCACCATATTATAACATAAACAAGCCAATAACACTAGTCAAAATCGGTGATTTCCACTATTTCTCCAACTTTAAACTACGCTTCATATAATATATATTAACGTCGTATATCGGTAGTTCCAGTATGTACCTGTCTATCTAGATTATCTCCGACTTCATTTAGCCTTTGCGGTGGCAGATTGAGCCGAGTGAAGCGCAATATACCACTTTAAAGAGCTTAAGCATTTATAGAGTTTATTGCGATAACGACACTTATTATTATAGGGGTATCGGACATCATTCGTTGCTTCGGAGCTCGCCCGCCGAGCCGAGTCCCTCGTTAGCCCCCAACGGAGTAAAGATGGTAATAACCATTATCATCAATCCGTACAATCCGGATTAGTTCGCGAGACTTGTCCATGAAAATGGAATTGATACGTTGTATGGAACTATAACTTGGGTAACTTAGAATAAATATCTAACTGTTGCCGGCCTTCGGCATCCGAGCCCCGGCCTCAAGATATACATGAATGGTACACTTTCATGTATATTATAGGCATTTGGCCGCCAAGATGAGTTGGCTATGTTACACACCAGAACCTACATTAAAACTCAAGTAACTTAAATTATATCTATTGTCAAACATGGCATCCTTTATGAAGCAGTGGTTTATTAAGGGGCAAGAGAAAGGGTTCGACGGGTTGGAGTTCCTTGAAGTACCTGTCCCAAAAGTGGGAGAGAACGAGGTACTCGTGAAAATGCATGCTGCATCTCTAAATTATCGAGACATAGCCATAGCGAAGAACGAATACCCCAGTCCATTACGATTCCCATTCTGCCCTGGTTCGGACGGCGCAGGTGAAGTCATAGAGACTGGCTCTAAAGTGACCAAATTTCAAATAGGTGACAAAGTAGCAACGCTATTTCATCAAGGCCATCTTTATGGTGATATTGACGCTTCCATCATCCCAACGTCGCTGGGTGGTTTCCTTGGTTTGTTCATCCCTTTTCTCTTATTCTGACGTTTATAAACTAACGAAAGGGTGGAAGACGGGACACTTAGACAATTCGGCGTCTATAATGAAAATGGGTTGGTCAGAACTCCCAATAATCTCAATCTGAATGAGTCAAGGTTAGCAACTCTCATTGACGCTTTGACCCTTCTTGATTAACTAACTTATTGTTTAGTACCTTATGTTAGTTAATATTTATCGCGGCTGTCTTTAGGTAGTTACCTACTAACCTTGAAAAAGCATGTGCTGCCTTGACTGCATGGAACGCATTATACGGATTGAAACCATTGAAACCAGGCGATTCAGTTCTCGTTCAAGGTACAGGCGGAGTTAGTATCTTTGCACTTCAGGTACGTGGTATTCAGTATCATTCTAAATGGTATTACTTCTTACATGCCTTACAGTTTGCCAAGGCTGCGGGAGCTACGGTCATAGCTACCACATCTACAAAGGAAAAAGAAGAGGCACTGAAAAAGTTAGGGGCTCATCATACAATTAATTACAAAGAAGATGCCAACTGGGGAAAGACCGCTAAGAGCCTGACGAACGGACAGAGCGGCGTCGACTTCGTGATTGATGTAGCAGGAAGTGAATCTCTCCACCATAGTATTGATGCAGTCAGGTAAACACCAACAGCCCTATCTACTTCTCGGGTAGATAAATATATCTTCAGCTAACTAAGACTTAAAAAGGCTTGGAGGCATCATTAACCTAATCGGCTTCCTCAGTGGCAAAAAACCCCAGCTTACAATGGAGCTCTTATTCCGCGGCTGTACAGCACGCGGCGTTCACGTGGGTTCGAGACAACAAATGGAGGATATGGTAAGGGCTATCGAAGCCAATGATATTCATCCTGTGATTGATGAGAAAATCTTCAACCTTGAAAGTGCTAAAGAAGCATATGACTATGTGGTACGTGAAGAATTATCCGGAACCCTTGGCCGGGCTGCCAAAAATACTAACCAAAGTTATCAATAGTGGAACCATAGACAGTTTGGCAAAGTGGTTATCAAGATATCCGAATAAGCTACTTATCCGAATAGGTTGAAGTGAGTGTTTGTCAGGATACAGGGGTTATGTTGATGACATGACGGGAATGTGCTCGGGAGGAAGCATACTATGTTACTTTACGTGTGATATATCATATTGATAAGGGGATCTTCAAACGCTGATGACAGATTTACAGCTCGTACGACTCTAAACTCTTATACGTCTTGACATATGACCAGTCAGTACCTAAAGATATCTGCCACGTAGCATAATTTTCAATATTGTAAACACACACATCTACTTCAAAGATATACTTACCTTACGTAGGTACCGTATCCTTTATTATGTAGTACAAGATGCGGCAGCCCTACCACAGTGATACTTTCTAGATATTTCGCCCGCCATTACTGCCTAAGATATTCTATAAATCAGCCATGGTCTACCCAACTACCTTTCAACAAACGCCTCAAAGAGTGCCTTATACCTTCCATTAAATTCCATCTTCAGAAACGAACATAAAAGCGAATGATTATCCCCAAATACCGAGTTCGGCAGCAAACCTACACTCTCCATAAGACCTTAATACCACGATGCAGAGTCCAAGGTTATTATGTGCCAACCAAGATGCAGCTACACCCTGCAAAAGCATTGGTTCACTGGCATGTAAAAATTGTCTCTTAGTTCCTGTAAGTCTTCTTAACACTTCACTAATAGCCAGATTTGAAGTACTATAGTACTGATGCTGATTTTTCTAAACGATAATAGTACTGCAGCAAGCGTTGCCAGACTGTCCATTGGCCTACTCACCGTAAGGATTGTAAATCCATAAACAATTGGCAGCCTTCGTGGGAAAAAGAAAACCGAGTGCCCGCCTTCATAGGTAACAGTTCCGCACATGTATCCTACGGGCCAAATAAATACCTCTGGGGTAACGTCCCAGCGTTTGACATAATCCAACTCAAACACAATGAAGGTCTTGAGTATAAAAATCCGTTAAACCTCCTTTTCCCAGGTACGAAATATTCCTTAGCTGTAAGGTACTACTAGCTAAAAGTTATATCCAGCTTCGGGGGATATGAGGAATGTTATCCTCTCTATTATCAATCTCCATTCTTGTGATGGGCCGCTCGGTATAGTATTGAACGACAAGGAAATGGATATAGTAGCTCGAAATGCTATATTTCTTTTGACCTTTCTTATTGAGGATAACCCGATTATCGCCGCAGAACATGTCCTTCACATTTGGTATTCAGCTTTGATCACAGAACCTTGTCAAAACCTTCTACGGAACAAGCTCCAACCAATGGTAAAGGATGTATGCGACAAGATCATACATAAGCCTAGCTCATCGCTTTTAGCCAAGACATGGTCGTTTAGCAACGCTTCTCTACGACTAGTACTATCTCGAGATAAATGGTTCTCTTTCCTATCATACTTTGACCATCCCCAAGGGTTGACCAAAGACACCGCCCAACGCGTTCGACAAGCAGTTATGTTGGCTCCCGAGAGGATTGACTATGTTCATCGAGTAATGTGTCTGAAAATTCCGCCCCAAAGGCTCGGCTTGTTAAAATTTCGAGTTGACGGCATTTTGTTACCGTTCAGTCATACTCGTGAAGAGTTTATAGTACCAAACCCGTAAGTATTCCACGTTGATATAAATTTCAATAGGTACCTATCCATATTTAATAGTTAACCCTTCCCAGAAGCTTGTTTCATTCGGCATGGCCCATGATGGACAATTCCGACCCCACATCCAGTTGGCCGCTTAAATCATTCCTCGAGTTCAATATTGGGCCAACGAAGCACGACGTATATGGCAAGCTCTATCATTACCTCAGACATATTTTTGTAGAGTTCCATCACCGACTACGATCTTTCCCGATAAAATTTGAACTTTTCCAGGCAGATGCAAGATCTCTACAACTAGATAAGAAGAAATTTGATCGCATCGATGTAAGTACCTAGTTTCTTTTGTTGATATATTTTTAGTGTCTAACCATTTACCTACGTAGGTAAGCAATATTACTGATGTGTGTTATCTTGGCATTGAAGGAACCTTAAAGACGTTTGGTCCACTGCTTCAGCCTACTATTATCAATCGACATGCGACTCTCATCACGCTATTCTTGAACGCCGTTCCAGAGATGATTATGGCGAAAGAAAGACTACTCTCTCCGCCAGATAAAGAAAACTTAGCGAAGCAGATGGAGATAGTTTTTCAGTATATGCCTGAACTTAGACCGTCCATGACCACCGAAGCGATAACTATATTGATCAAGACTATGATGGCAATGAATCTAGTTCAAGACGTGGATGGGTACTTCGATATGTATGTATCAAATGTCATTCCAACCTTCTCACCTTTGATTGCTTACCTTGCATACTATAGGTATATGAGGCTACACGAATTCAACTCCGTGGCGCTTGGTTCTGGGCTACGGATGAAAGATACACACACAATAATCGAGAGATGGCCTCTGAGAATCAGTCAGGAACTAACAGAGCAGGCAAAAGAACAGTTTGCCCTTATATTCTCTTCGAGCCATAATGGACAGGAACGTTATGTTGAGTGGAGTCGTACATTGGGATAAACGCGAAAGAAATGAAGTAGTCATAAAGATACTTTGCTGTTGGTTTAGAGACATGAAGTGCATCATGGCAGAGTCCATCCCGTAGAGGTACCTACTAAATAGTTCATTACAACACAATAGTACGCCTCAGAGACATATATACTACTACGAAGTCCCTTCAATATGACAGCACATGTGTAAGGGTTGGTAATATTTTTTTCATCAAAACCTATAAAATCACTCTAATGTTTAGGTACCTAGGTACTTCGTAGGTTACATTAATATGGGATCCACTTCAATCCGACAAGTCCGGATCGGAGCCGCAGATGCATTGATTAGTGGGTCCGTAAGGTTGGACCGGAGCCGCAGGTACAGTATGATACTATCCCCATCAAGGAAATAGCAAGTCTATATTATAAATCGCCTTTTCCTTTGATAAATTCCTATATTAAGAGGTTGGTAAAGCAGGTATTACAATAATTCCAATTTTAATTATTCCAAATTTTCAATCATGGCTGCAACACCTCCTACCCTCGAATATGTTTTCACTATGCGAGAACAAATCCATTCTGATATCGGAGACATTGGTCCAAAATCATCCGGTGCCACTCGACTAGCCGCAAACGTCATTGGTGGCTTTATTAAATTCAGCAACTCGAACATAGAAGCTCAAATTATCCCCCTTGGCGGAGATTGGCCTCTTGTGGATTTCAATGCCAACTGCCTCTACATCGACGCACGAGCTCGAGCCAAAACTGACAAAGGAGAAATATATATCTCATATGTTGGCACAATCTTCTTAGACGAGGTTACGAAAAAGTTGGTCACCAAGGCGCCTAGCGCTAAGCCTACGAATTTCGGAGATACCACATGGTTTACTAAGCTTGTCAGGGTATAAGTGGGTAAGGAGGCCTACATGGGTCTATCTACTATATAAGGGCGCTCTGCGCCCTCGAAAGAGAGTAGAAGCCAGGCGTTACTAGTTCAACATATCATCCTTTTGGTCTACCTATCCTAGATATTCACTCTGTGTATGACATCAATCACCTGGGTATAAACCCCCTGACAAAGCTGGACGTCGAAACAACGGATCCGCGGTTAATGTGGATGAAGACGGATATTCTTGTAGGCCAAGGACGCTGGCATATTGACGAGAAGGGACTAGCCTCTGAGTATTTGGTTTATAGGCTACGAAATTAGGGTTATCACAAAACCTGATCATGTCTTACTACGGGAGGATGCAATTTAATGTGGCCATTGAGGCCTAGCCAGCAATTCTTATATTCGACTCAACTTGTATTGTGCTATATCTACCTAACTAACATATGGCTTCCTGGAAAAGTTTTGCCTCAGTTTCCACATAGCAATCTATACTTCATAGCCAAACTTCCAGCAGTCAAACCCGCAATGTCACTCTTTTTAGTTAATAAAGAGTTTCAATGCAATTAGTATAGTGTTGCCTTAAGGTTGAAAGATCGGTGTTAGTGTATAACCACGCAAGACGAGCAGGGCTATCACACACTGAGGGGGTTCGCCAGTAGTGAATACACTCGATAAATACATCGCATGTAGTCTCGAACGCCTTGATAACTTTGTATGTATGTGGATCAGCGTGCTGATATACGAAGTTATCACAATCTTTGGTAACTCCGAACTTTTTCCATTTTATCACTCATATGCCTTCTTAAATCAAGTTTCTCTCATATGCTAGTAGGCTAATATTCTGTTCTTCATGCAGAGAAGGCAGAAATACCAAATGCGGCAATGAAAGTAACTATCTAATATATAAAAGAAGTAAATTGAAGGAAAGTTATACATTTATATCCCGGTATCATATTTTCCAGTTTGGCAGGTAAAAGAACTTAAGCCAGTTAAATCATGTTACCGAGCCATATAATGTTTTCTATGGACAGCATCTCCTATCTCCAACAATAAAAACTCATCATACCATCTAGAGCTCAACGAGTTCAATGAGCCAGTTAATAACTTGACTTGACCTAGATCAAAGTATACGTATATATTTTCTACGTAATATGATTGGCGGCTAGCTGATTTCTGGTGGAGTATACTGTGAGGCTGATGTGACTCGAGCTGTGGCTTTGTAAAAGCTGTCAAATGTCGATTGTTACTGGTAGATTCCACCATGAAGATCTCTTCGCCGGGTCGAAACGACTGCTCCAGAGGGTGTTATAAGGCTTGAAGCGTTACTGATGGCTTGGGTTAATCTAGAAATAATATCGTTGGTGATGACTTCAGACCGTGTACTCCATCCCAATTCGGTGGGCAAACGTTCATTCTCTTTAAGCAATGTTAACTTAGGCACAAATACATATATAGATAAACTTACGAAAGAAATATTCCACCAGAGTTCTATTGACGGTCACTGCTTCCAAGTCACCGAAAGCAACAACCGGGGCAGAAAGCTCGCCAAGGCTAAAGTTTTCGATCGTAGAAGTGAATGTGTAATTGGGGTTGAAGGCCTTGGAGTTGAGCTGGCGGGCAACCTTGCTATTTGCCAGCATGTTTGCATCAAGGATCTCGCCGGTCCAGTATACTTTCGTCTCGTTGAAGATAGATTCGTTGAAGACATGGTTGTTGCCGAAGAAGGCGTCTGTGCGGCTGTGGGATATAATTAGTATCAGTGCCACGTCTTCTAATATACCATATAATGATCTCACCTCAAGCTGCCATCATGCTCAAGCACGTTATGGACATTCAATTGATCCCTAGTTATAGATGAATATTAGTGGATCTATATTCGAAAAGAACGTAGGTCCAGAAAATATGACTCGATATCAACAAATTCATATTCCTTTGGTAGTATAGGGGTTCTGAGTTTCTTACAGAGTGAAAAACGTGGCATTGGGCTCTGGATTCGCTATAGTTGCCATGTCAAACATCAGGGAAGCGAGTGATTCATCGAAGTTGAGAGCTGAGGACATGGCACTAATGACTTTGTCTTTCGTGATATTCCGACCCGTGTGCGGTAGAAATTGATGATTTGAAAGAGTATTGAGCATTGGGCAGGGCCCACGGACTATCAACAGTAGGTATTAGCAACTAAAACTCCGAAGTTTTATACAATTTACCATACAGTCATTCGGCCCTGGGGCTATCCACGGATGGCCCTCTGGAAACTCACTAGCAGCTGCTAATGTGATACCGAAGGCAACTGGAAGAGAAATAAGCCTCATGGTTTCGATATAGTGTTTATAATAGATATAAGAAATCTGAAGTGTGTTGAGGATGATGATGATGCATCTTTTTCACGGAGAAGAGACGAAGTATTTAAGTCAATAAGAGTTACCCTTAGCTTAGGAGGAATCGCAGGTAACAATAACATGGTTAGACCAATTGCTTGGACGATCATCATCATAGTTTCGGATACTACATATTGCCCGACAGCCGTTCTATAACAACAAAACAGCAGGTAGCCAATAAGAGGCTAGATATTGTAATGCTTCCCAATTTATAATGATTTACGAGTATTGTGCGAAGTGCGAGGTTTGTACGAATTCGCTTTTGTTCGTACAACCCTGCTAGGAGCTGGCTAAGCCTCACGATAGGACGCGGCAAGATTCAATAACCATTTGATCTGAAGCTTTTAAGTCTCCATACATGCAATGCAACATAGCATCCCAAAGTTGCAGGCGTAATCACAGTACCTATGATTCAAGCCATGTGCATTTATAGGTAAGGATAGCCATGCCACTTAATTAACATGTGCTCTACACGGAGGTGCGTATGCCCAAGGCGGTCGGGCCGCTTGGCATCTTGCTAACAAAAAGGGGTACCAATCATATCGTATGAGTTATAATCATAAACACCTTGTTAGGACTCTAGATGAGACATCTAGAATAAAAGATATTTCAATATGTAGGTACCTTTGCATATCCGCAGGTTCCGGTAGCTAGTTTAGAATTCCTCCCGGAACAATGAAGACATTTCCTTGCTTCTTGCTCCATCTCATGACACACCTAGGTAGGCGGAATGGATACTCGGTACATTTATTGTCTAGGTAGACCTTAGGGTCGTCTATCTTACTATTCTGTACTGACGTATGCACCCAAGCAGTAAACGTTTATCATCCAAAAGGAAATCGTTTTCGTCCTATCGAATCCTATATCAAGTTATCTTATGAACAACTTCAGGAACTAATGTGATAGTAAATACCCGAATTAAGCTAAACAAATTACGACGACATCCCTCGGTATCTAAAGACGCTTTAATCGGGGAGTTTTTGTCAAAAAATTGAGGTTAATGATCCACATTATTCCTTGGGTGGGGGAGGGGGAAATCCTGGTCGGCGATAATAGAGATAATGGTTAAGAGCCCGCATTATAGCCTCACCGATACATATGTATCAAAAGCTACCTAGACAAAGTTATCATGGTTCAGCGCATTCACCGAGAAGCCAACTTACAGGCCTTCATTAATGCTGTGGAGAAGGATGGCTGTGTCATCATCGAAGGCTTTACCACCCTCGAGGCGCTTGCCGACGCGCAGGAAGAAGTGCAACCCTACCTTGATGCTTCCATTTCGGCTAGCGGAAGCACGGTTGGGGCTTTGAACGGAGGCACTGCGACATGCACGCGCCTAATCGGCAGAAGCAAGACGGCTCGTGAGAAGTTTTTCTCTGACCCCTTGTACCAGGTATTGAAAACACATTCTCGTCAGTGTATCTAAGATTAGGCCAGGGACTTTTCGACTTCAAGAATCATATAGATTGTGGGTTTTTAAGTGGGATAACTTGGAGTGAAGTCGCTATAAGTTATTGACAATGAGCATTCTTACCCAGAGACTTCTCAAGTCTGTTTCTAGTCTGTTTAAGCCAGTTTGTATAAGCTAATAGCTTCGAAAACCAGGAACTCGCGGAGCACTTTATTGGTGTCGAGTCCACGACTTGGTATGGAGATGAGCCACAAGTTAACAAGTCTCACCCTCTCCTCTCCATCTCAATTACAATGGACTCCCGGCCCGGGTGCAAAGCTCAGCGTCTACATCGAGACGACAAGAATCACCACGCGAGACACGCAAAGACCGATAAGTACTCCCAAGGCCGAGACATGTTAATAGGGCTATTTGTACCAGGCTGCGACACATCCAAGGTGAATGGTGCAACAAGAATTGTGCCTGGATCGCACCTTTGGGGTGACGAAAAGCCTGATTTTGGCCCCAATGGTGATGCAGGTGTCATCGATGCCGAGTTGAAGAGAACGGATGCCTTTATTATGCTCGGGAGTCTCTATCACGGCGCTGGGCACTATTCGCTGCCGTCTGGGAACCGCACCGTACATATATTCTTTATGTGTAGTGGCGTACATCGTCAAGAGGTATTATGCCGCTTATGTCTACCATCTCGTAACCGATGCTTGCTAACTAACTTGAAAAGGAAATTCCCTTCCTTAGCTATCCTATAGAAGAAGTAAAGACTTACTCACAATTGGTGCGTGATAGGTTAGGCTGGAAGCAATCCGAACCAAATCTTGGATGGGTCGATTTGATGTCTCCTGAGTACTTATTAGCATAAACTACTGTATGTAGAGCGCGGTCGTACTACTATAGCCCATGAAAATGGTTGATGATTTGAAATTAGATTTGATTCAATATTACCTATATAATCTATCTCGAAGAGTAAAGGATGGTAATTGATGAGAGATTATGTTCAACATTTTGATATCCTCACAAAATGAGCTCACCGTCAAGGTCATAGCATTCGGACTCCATATCAGGACAGATATGTTAGCAAGCAATCCAAATCGTGTCGTTTAGTCGTAAGACGATCTATGTACAGATACTATGACCGTATCCCCAATCTCAACGCTAAGCTAGACTTGCTAGCTGAGAATGAGACTGCGGTCAGTTGAATCACGCCGTACCAGATGTATCAAGGGTAAAATTATAGCTATAGCGAGGATTACCTTTAGAAACCGAACCCCTTTTGCCTTCCAGATACCACGAAACGAGTCAATAAGGCACTCGCATAGGTCATTTTCCTAAATATAGACGTCTCGGTAATATGGTTTCCGTCTCCTAGTCAGCTAGATGACGAATTGCTCGCGGCAGGACGTAGAGCCAAAGCTCTCGTTAGGCTTCACCTAGTCTTAGTCTCAAAACTCCATGCTTAGGATTGATCAATCTGTGATAGCCGCTGATCACCTCCCCAGTTAAAATCACCAGGAAGTCCTATCATATCCTGTACTAGTAGCCAAACTAGTTTTGTTACAGGTAATTTGAAAGATCTTTTCCATTTTGGTTGATATGTTCTGCATCTAGAGCATGGAAGAGGCGCATTGCTGTGTAAACTGCGCCCCTCTTGTCGTAGTGGGTGCGAAAGTCCAGGGGGCTATAAACCCATTATTAGATAAGAGCCGAAAATAATACCCCTTGACAATAGGAGGTATTAAAAACTTAGTTATGATTCCTGTGGACACGACGGTATAATATCGAACCGACGTGGTAGAATCCGGAGCTCAAGTTCCAGGAAGAGGTGTTTCTTTCGATATTTATCTGAATAAATGTTTTAAGCATCGTGCTAGAGGCAGGAGTTTGGATAATCAGTAAGACAGCCTCGATAATCAAGGATGTTAGGCCATTAAAAGAGGATTTGCTCTATGGGAAAGATGACAATGATTTAGCCACAATTCATAGGAGGAATCACAATGCCTCAACGTATCTAGTTCTTCTAGACCGCAGGTTAAGATCGCGTATAGAACTAAAGCCCCTTTGCAGAATGTGATAGTTCCCATGAGATGAGGACTCGGAGCTATCATATGAAGTCCTCACTTCAGCAGCAAAACACTTCAAGTTGCCTTGCGCACATGGAATAACGCCTAGGGGGTGACCTTTCGACTTAGAACACCCGAGGAATACTAGACGTCAGCAAGTTGGTACTGAGACCGGTTCGAAAACCAATATAATACATCATCAATACGCTTTTGCTTTCGCAAGCTTTTCATATCAGGCCACCTATTTGTAAGACAGCTTGCGAATGCTGTTCATAGACTGGTCTTTCGAAAGAAAACATAACGTATCTCGCAAATGCCGGGCGGTAGCCGACTAATAAAGAACTACGAACGTCGACCGAGAAAGTTCAGTGATTTTCGCAGATAGTAATTCATCATTGGTTCGGTTTAGGAAAGATACTCCTAATAAGGGTCATGCGAAGGATATCTTCGACAAGTGCTGACGAATTGGCTTCGTACTTGGAGCGCGGTGGGAGCTGGTCTATGAATCACAATGACGACCTGTCATTCGAAATCTTAGCGGGGAAGACAAGCTTAAAGCTATATCAGACGGGACTGTCAAATGTTATCATGAACAGAGTTAAAGTTGACAACGTAACGCGTCGGCAAGCTGGATTTTTATAAAGTTAAAAGTGACAATATGATCTAGGATAAATTAACGAGATGTCAGCCACTCTTAGGTCGACATATCTATCGACATATCTATCGACATATATCTACTACCTAGGAGCACTTTTATCAATATCCTCATTACCGATAATCAAAGACTATATACGATATGGCGGGCAAAGTCAGTCTTGCAAACACGGATGATATCCCTGATCTCATGGAGATGTTCTGGGAAGCCTTCAGCGGACCGGGCGAGGTTGTGTTTCCCCATACCGAGGCAGGACGAAAGTGGCTTCAGCGAAGTTTTGATAACTTCCTAGGTCAGAAGTCTTACTACAGACCTGAATCAAAGATTGCAGTCGTCAGGAATCTTAACAGTATGGATACTACCAGGGATAACATCTCCCATTATGATTGAAATATTGGTCACTAAAAGCAGTATAGGTAGGCCGGTTGCCCTTGTAATCGCTCACATCGTTCGCCCAGGTCAAAATATTACCGGCAACTCGTGGAAGACACGATGGTCGCGATGCGAGGACATACCAGGGATGAGCGAAGAGAAGCTTTCAGAATTCTTTGAGCCTCTAGCGAAAGCACATTATCTGGTCGTAGGAAAGGAGGGCCATGTCTGTAAGTTGTCACCAAGTTAAAATGTCTTGAAATGGCAAACCTGACCCACACATAGTCATCGAACTCGTCATGACGAAGTCTAATAGTCGAGGAAGAGGCTATGCATCAGCACTTATGGGATGGGCGACGAAGCTAGCTGATAGCCTCGACATACCTTGCTATCTCGATGCCGGAATACGCGGTATGGGCATCTGTGACCGATGCGGTTTCAAGGCGCAAGATATCGAGATACGATACGGCGGACCGCCGCCTTGCACGCCTATGTTGAGATCGAAAAAGCAGTAATACTTTTAATGAAGAAGCTAGAATAGATATTGACGATGGATATGATGGAACTAGGTAACTGTTAATTTAGAGTGCTAAGGGAACGTTACGAGCATGTCGCGCAGTGATTCGACCAGGGGTTATCAACCATTGATCAAGGGTTCAATGCACCCCACAAAGATCGCCAATTCGAACAATGCTGTCAATTTGCGAGTACGATATCCAGCCACGATGATTTTGTGTATGGGCGTTTGAAGGATATCTCGTATCTCGTATGTACCTACCGTTTACGCTTATGTGCGACTGAATTTATGTGCGGTAGAAGTTTTTATTGGTAGTTAATGACATTCGATGATTTGACGATGTATAGTTTTTTTTTCTCTCCATTGAGGTGATTTGTTACTGCAGCTTGATTACCAACAGAAGGTGGAAAAAAGATGTCAAGGTCTAGATTGTCTCTGTATCACACAGCCACGGCGGAGAATACAACCTGGGTTACCTATGTCCATATTTAAAGCGGAACTGCGGGACGAGAGACGCCGCTGAACTTTGTATGTAGGTAGGTATTACCGAAGTTGTAGCTCTATGTTAGGTACCTAACTTAGTATACAGCAAGCAGCCTTACAGTGCTAACCTAGACCACTAACTTAGACCATCATTGCTGCATCGTCGCTGCCTAGTCCCCTTACATGCTTACTTTAAATCCTTCAGTTAATCCAATTAAATGTTTGTTTTCAATGTCTCAATGTCTTAATATTTCTTACTAGGTAAACTTTACATTTCACATTTCATAAACTCAACAACAATTTCTATATTTTAACCATCTACCGCCATATATCCCCCAACTTGCGGTAAACTTTCGCATATCTTATCAAATACCTTCTCTATTTGTCAGGTTCTATTTTCCCGTGTTCCAAGCATCATTATAGTGGGTTTCTTGGGTCGGATGGACGCCAAGAATAAGCCTCCGACGACATGATGGCTTTCTTGGCTCACCTAAGATATCCAATAAAGGAAGATGCCAAGTCTTTCTGTGGCCTTATCCGCTCAGCTGTACGGATCCGTACCGTCTGTACCATCTAGACCCCTGGGCCCTTGGCATTTCCATTGCAGTAGCACTTCACTTCATCCGCCCTGCGGCACGGCAATTGCTAGTTATGGTCGTTCTGCCTAATCATCTGTCCTTCTAATTCGTTTCATACATTCATTTGTCTATCCCTCTGTCGTTCTTGGCCAACTTTTTTGTGTGTCTCTGTTTTTTTTCTACATTCTCATTCTCGTTCTTGTCATTGATGGCCTTAAGATAGATCGAATCGTTGAATTTGCGTCGCTTGCTTAGCCTCGGTTTATTGGAACTCGTATTCCACATAGTTCGTCTGCTTAAGATTACGCCGTAATAGCTCTGGATCTGCTTGGTCTTCTTTAGCGATTCTTATATAGTTCTTGGATGAAAATGATAGAATTGATTTTAGGTTGATGCTCGTCGTCTTTGCGCCCTTCCTCACCATTCTTCGACTTTGCGCGATCGAGGCATTGGCTTGAAGGCTCGAGGGCTTTTCGTCTATCCTTGCCCCGCCTCCCAATTGCCTCTGTATATCGACTGCAACCGCGGAGATGTTTCGCTTACGGAGATATCGCTACTACGTCTTCTTTGCCGCTATCATCGTATTCTTGCTATACCGTGTTTCCCAGAATAGTGATCAGTGGGAGTCCGTCTCGGCGGCCATTCCCTATAAAGCTCCCCCCAAGTCATCCCCGGAGCGAGGCTTCGGCACAACCAACAAGCAATCTCAACAACCTCTCCCCGGTAAGAGCGGGAGTAGGTTGTCGGATGGTGATAGTGACTCAATACGTCAAGGACGGGAGAAGACGATCGACGATACCAACGAGGTCAAGATCCCTAGCTTAAAACCGACCACTAGCGAAGATGTTCTCAGCAAATTCGATCCTTCTATAGAGACCGCGACGACGGACGCTGGCAGGACCAAAGTAATGGTATACGATAAAGATGGCGCTGCGAAGACCACTACCGTTCCGTTGATCGATATACCAGATAAGAACGTCGGCCAAGGTGCTAAGGGCAAAGGCGTCCACGGAAAACCTGGCACGCATAAATCCAAACCGGAGGGCGAACCACCTAAGCACTGGAAGAAGTTCCCTGAACATTTCCCCGTCCCCGAAGACGAAATAATCCCTCTACCGACTGGGAAGCCCAAGCCTATCCCCGCAGTCCAATACGACTTCGATACAGAGTTGCCCCAGGTTCGGGAGAAGCGTCTAGAACGTCTCGCCAAGGTGAAGGCAGAAATGGTGCGCGGTTGGAATGGTTATATGACCTATGCTAAAGGACATGACGAATTGAGTCCCGTATCCAAAAAGTTTCGCGATCCGTTCTGTGGCTGGGCCGCAACTTTGGTCGATGCGCTAGACACGTTATGGATTATGGGCATGAAGGAAGAGTTTGAAGAGGCTCTTCTCGAAGTCGAGAAGATCGACTTTACCACATCCGAATATCGATCCGAAATTCCTGTTTTCGAAACGACCATTCGATATCTTGGCGGTCTAGTCGCAGCGTACGATGTCAGTGGCGGTAAAGCTGGAGGATATGATATTCTTCTCGAGAAGGCGCTCGAGCTTGCTGAAATACTCATGGGCGTCTTCGATACGCCGAACCGCATGCCTATTCTATATTACAACTGGAAACCATCATCCGTGTCGCTTCCCAAGAGAGCCCAGGGAGCGAGTGTTGCTGAACTAGGCTCTCTCGCCATGGAGTTTACTCGCCTAGCGCAGATCACGAAAGAGAACAGGTACTATGATGCTGTAGCACGCATCACAGATGCCTTTTACGAATGGCAAGAACGAGGAACCGCAATCCCCGGTATCTTCCCAGAACATATAGATGCCAGTGGCTGTAATAGAACTGCAGAGGCCATAGTCGCCGCCCAGGAGGCTGAAGAGGAAGAGCAGCGGCAGGTTGAGCTCCAGAAGTCTGGCTCCGATACTGCTAAGAGCAAGGCTATCGAGGTGGACGGTAGCCAAAGCAAATCTGGTAAGGGCGAGTTCCATGCCTTAGAAAGCCGCTCTCAAGTGGGAACGCCCAACGATGATGGTACCAAATCAGTCAAGATCGTAACCAATGGTGAGGAGATATACGCGCCGTCAGAGAAGACAGCTTCTCCCAAAAGCGATAAGGGAAAAAGTAGTACCGTATCGCGAAGTCATAGTAACGACTCGGAAGAGCCAAAGAAAAAAGATAAATGTATTCCACAGGGGCTTACTTCCGGGTCGTTCTATTCCAACCAACAATACAGCATGGGTGGAAGCCAAGACAGCACATATGAATATTTTCCCAAGCAGTGGCTACTCCTCGGCGGTCTCGAGCCCAAGTACGAGATCTTGCATACTAAAGTTGCCGCAGCTGTCAAGAAATGGCTACTATTCCGGCCCATGGTTCCTGATGATCGTGATATCCTATTCTCTGCTAAGATCAACACTCGAGGGAGCCCAGAGACCGATGCCTCAACCGAGTGGGAAGTCACCCATCTCACCTGCTTCCTCGGAGGAATGTTCGGTTTGGGCGGGAAGATCTTCAAAGTGCCGGAAGACGTAGAGATCGGAAAGAAGCTCACCGACGGCTGCGTATGGGCTTACGAAAGTACACCGAGCGGTATCATGCCTGAAGGCTCCACCGTTGTCCCCTGTGCCGAGGCGAACAACTGCCACTGGAACGAAACTCTCTACTGGCAATGGTTGGACCCTCTTCACGAGACTCACGATGAAGAGGTTATGAATTTTGAAAAGGAACAAAAGGAGCGAAAGGCCAAGAAGTTGCTGAATACGGAAAAGGCGACGATGAAGGGACATCCGAATCTCGGTACGGTGGCCGATGGAACGGTTTCGAGCAAGGACGGATCGGGGAGCGTTGGGATTCATAAGAGAGCCCCCCCTTCGCCGATACGCAGTTCGACGGATGACACGACTGGCGAAAGCGTTCAGGCTCCTCTCCAGCCAGAAGAAGATGACAGCGAAGTTCCAGAACCAATACGCCCGCTATCCTCTAAGGAGTACGCAGAGAATCGTATTCAATCCGATAACCTCCCACCTGGCTTTGTCAGTGCCAATTATCATGCATATATCCTCAGGTAAGTGAGAACGTTGTATATAATAGCGGAAGCATAGCTGCGCCGTGCTATAAGTCCTGAGGCCCGACTAACCATCTTTGTAGACCGGAAGCCATCGAATCCGTTTGGTACATGTACCGCATCACGGGTGACAGCTCTTGGCAGGAGAAAGGATGGAAGATGTTCAATGCTATTGTTAGCCAAACTCGGACAGAGGCTGGTAGCAGTGCCATCGACAATGTCTTGTTGGAGAACCCCGTTAAAACGGACGAGATGGAGAGTTTTTGGTTGGCCGAAACGCTGAAATATTTCTACCTGCTGTAAGTCGTCCCACAACAACTTATGATATTTTTCGAACAAGATTACTAACAGTCTCTATAGATACTCAGATCCTAACCTCATCAGCTTAGATGAGTGGGTGCTGAATACGGAAGCGCATCCTTTTAAGCGACCCGTTTGAACGGGTGCCTGGGCAATAGACTCAAGAAATCATCATATTTTTTATTTTTTTGCATAGAATACGAAACCGCAATAGGTCGGCGGTAAGAAGTCAATTTTGGCTAGGTTTTGTTTAAAAGTTGAGCATTCGTTTGCTGGATACTCTATTCTACAGGAGTCGTGGAATTCGTTGGCTACTTATTGAGCTGTTCCACGTAAGTGCAGGGGTGACGCGTCGTCATCACATCCACCACATTAACACTACCCATCCTTTTATCCTTACTCGTCCAGACATGATAAGCAGTGTAGTCTGTCGTATATTCCAGACGAGACAATATATATGTATATAAACTATCTCGATGAGATTCTAGCTTCACTGATTTGGTGTTATGGACGCTTTGGGAACGGTGGGCAAAAATCGGATAGAGACGGCTTTAGAGATATTATACCTAGGCCAATTTAAGACACCGACTGTGGTGTATTCATGCATCGTCATAGATTTCTTTTATCTTAGCTTCCGCCGAGCCGGCAATGATAGGGGCGATACCTATGTGGGTAAAGATTAGATTTTCGTATTGAACAATGAAGCTTTAGCCTCTGCTACCCATTACCCTTTAGAGGTTCTTAATCCATGGCATTATATAACAACTGCAACAAGAACTATTAACTAGTTATAATAAGAAACTAGTGTAGTATGCTTAAACATGGCTTAAAGATAAGTCCCGCCTAGTTGTCAGATTGTTCGGGCCTATCTAATGTTAGGTAGGGATCATATCTCTCCAGACAGCCAGAACAGCCCAGGTTTATCTTTACGATAACAAATAAAATCATGAACCATCTTCTCCGCAACTCACTAATCCTCAAGAGGCAACGGTTAGCCCAGATCCTGCGGTTTAGGAAGGCAAACCAGGTGCAAAAAGGTCCACTAAACCCCATCAAGGCGGAGAGGAATGAAAACGCTGTATCTCTTATATGTACGTAATACCACCATTTAATAGGATCTGGCCCTCGTGATAATAAATCTAGAAGGTTTCGATATTTTTATTTTTATTTTTATTTTATTTTACATATCATGTGTTGAGCGCGTCTTACTTGCATTTGCGCATTGCATCTTGCACACCTTGCATCTCACGTTCCCTACCTAGACGTCTGTGCCAATCGCTTATCGCTTATACCTTTGTCTACGTCTATGCGAGGAAGATCTGTGTAAGTATTGTTTTTTTTTTAAAGCAAACTTCCTTGGGGCTAGGGTTCTATCGCATGAAATCACAGCTTTGAATCCGTCTCGCGAGAGTGGAAGAAGATGGGCCGCCAAAGTGAAGAGGTGGCATATGCCACGGGCGATTCCAGTCGCGTCGAGTCTGAGCCGAAAGGTGATGTGATTGACCGCACTACATCAAATCAGATCGGGGAGATGAACCTCGAGAGCGGTCATCAGCTCAAGAGAGGGCTTAAAAGTCGACATATTCAATTCCTTGCTCTCGGAGGCGCGTAAGTTATCTAACCTACCCCTTACAGTCACATACTACATTGTTAGTAAGTAAGTAAATCAGACCAATTGCTAAATGTTTCTAGAATCGGAACCGGTCTATTCGTCGGCTCCGGCCAGATCCTAGCCACCACGGGCCCGGCACCGCTGTTCATGGCGTACCTGTCTATGATGATTGTGGTCTGGGTCATCATGAACAACCTCGCGGAAATGGTGACGTACCTGCCCATGAAAGGCATCTCGATCCCGTACTTCGTCGGCCGCTTCGTCGAACCCAGTCTCGCCTTCGCCGCCGGCTGGAACTACTGGTACGCCTACACCATGCTGCTCGCCGCCGAGTGCACCGCCGGCGCTATAATCCTACAGTATTGGACCAACGCCGTCCCCGTAGCCGTCTGGATCGCTCTCCAGCTCATCGTCATCTTGCTGCTGAACATCATCGCCGTGTCGTTTTTCGGCGAGGCAGAGTTTTGGTTCGCGAGTATAAAACTTATTACTATAACCGGCTTGATTATCCTGGGTATCGTGCTGTTCTTCGGCGGTGGACCAACACACGATCATCTGTACTTCAGGTACTGGCAGGAACCAGGGGCTTTCCACCCGTATCTGTTGGAGGGGAATACTGGCCGGTTCTTGGCTTATTGGACGGCCTTTGCGCGCGCTGGGTTCTCGTTCGTCACGTCGCCTGAGCTTATCGCGCTCTCGGCGGGTGAGACTGTTGCGCCGCGGCGCAATATCCCTAAGGCAGCCCGTCGCTTCGTGTGGCGATTGGCTATATTCTACGGCCTGGGATCGCTTGTTATTGGCATCATCGTCCCTTACGATGAGAAGAACCTAACGGGCGAGTCTAATGCGACTGCTAGCCCGTTCGTCCTCGGCATCTCGCGCGCCGGGATTAAGGGGCTTAACCACGTTATCAACGCTGCGGTTCTTACTTCGGCTTGGTCTGCGGGCAACGCGTTCTGCTATTCAGGGTCGCGTGTGCTCTACTCCATGTCGATCAACGGCCAAGCGCCGCGATGGTTCGGGCGTACCACGAAGCGGGGTGTACCGTATGTGGCAGTACTTTTCACCCTGCTGGTTGCATGTCTGGCCTTTCTCAACGTATCCAACTCAGGTGCGCAGGTATTCCAATGGTTCACCAACATCTCGACCATCTCCGGCTTCATCGCGTGGATCGTAGTCATGATCACATACATACGATTCCGGAAAGCCATGGAACACCACGGGTTGCTCGACGCGTTGCCGTACCGGACGCCGCTGCAGCCGTACGCTACATACGCCGTACTGTTCATCATCGTGATCTTAACCCTGACCAACGGGTTCCAGATCTTTTTCCCGTCGCAGTGGAGCGTGTCCAACTTCCTCGCCGCGTACATCACCATCCCGATCTTCCTAGCACTATACCTTGTGCACAAGATCATCTACCGTACGCCTTTGGCAACTAAGGTCGAGGACGTGGATGCCTGGACAGGCAAGAAGGAGATGGATGATCTGAGCGCGGCGGAGGAGGAGCGGGTACCGCGGAATTGGTATGAAAAGGTGTGGTTTTGGCTTGCTTGATTTGCTTTTTACCCGTTAGGTTAAGCTTGGTTGTATATGTAGTGGGTTTTATGTATGATACCTTGAAAAAATAAGAATCTTGAATAGATACCCGTGCAAGATAGATTTAGATCTATATCAAAACATTGAATTGCGCAATACTGATAGCAAATTGTATATTGCATTAAATACGTCTTATTGGTGAAGAAACTATCACTCCGCATTTTCATCATTCATAAAGAATATCATAATAATTAACAAATGTACATTTTTATTAAGGTATCGCATATACTAAATATTCCATATTCGTGTCCATCATTTCCAACTCATCCAGTCGTATAAGAATAAAAAATTAGTCAACCCGTTTCCTACATTACGAGTAGGCTCATAACTATGAGCCCCAACGTAAGACACAGGCGAGTCTTCGGCTGAGCCCAAGATGCAGCGCCCGAAGGCGACGAAGTGGGCTCTGCAGCCGAGTCCGAGCCCGTAGCCGAAGCAGTCGGAGGAACATATGTTGCGGGTACGGTCACTTCAGCCAGGCTAACACCGCTCGCCTTCGTGTTAGCCAGAAAGCATATAGGCATTCCCGACGCGCCGTACGTCGGGCTCGCCCAGCCCCAAAGATCATTCGTCACGGTAGCAGATGGATCAACGCTGCTCGATGGAGGAGTGCTATCCGCATACGTGACGGGGTACTGCGTGGCCCGAGTGACATTCGTCGCGGCTAGGCTGGCCAGCGGCGTTCCAGTGGTGCCCGGGGCGCAGGCAGTCCTAGGGGTAGGCGTAAAATCTATAGCAGCGGTCTGAACACCGGTGACGCCGCAGCAGACTAGATTCTCTAGGTTAACGGGATGGGGCGACCCGCCGTTTGGGTTGGAGTAGGGGACGATGGGCGAGGAGGAGTTGCCGTATATGTCGAAGGAAGTGTCGACGATGACGCCGTTGCAGCATATACCCTGGAAGTCGGCGGGTGAGATGGAAGTGCCTTTTTCATAGGGTTGAGGGCAACTGAGACCGAATAGAGTTGCGCGGGAGTTTCTGGGGTATAGACACCATTGTGAGATATCACCGGTAGGAATCGATGTTGTGATGGATGGTGATGCCATTGTTGATGATGATGCTACTGTTAGATTTCTATTATGAGTAGATGTTTTATATATTATGTTTCTCCCGAGTTTATTTTATCATGTCATTTCTTTCACGCATAAATAGATAAGAGGGTATAACTTGTAAATGAACATGACGGCGCAGTAGCTCGGCTCCAATGGTGAAGTTGTATTAGGCAAGCCAATAAACACCCTTGCTATTGCCGCCGCCGAGCTTCTTGCCTGGCTGCTATAGTAACGTAACTTATATAAGTTACATGGGTCCCTATGAGATATCTAGAAGAAATCGACTGTCGTTCAATTTGACATATAGATGAAGTATCACGACTCTATCTAATCAAGATGTTAGATACATAAATTGAGAAGATACGTACCTGCTATTAAATGCACCGTGCAAATGCCAAAATGCAGTCAGTGCCTGAAAGACGGGTAACACAGACCACCAAATGCAACTGCCAAAGTTACAACCAAAGTTACAACAATGCGCAGGTACAAATTGCCGCCCCACCTCCCAAACTCCCCCTCCAAAAAAAAGATATAAATACCCGTCTTCCCTCCCACCATCTTAGAAATTCTTTTTTCCCTTTCTTCTTCATACTTACCTTGGGAGAAAAGCCCTCGCTCAAGAAAAAGGGCTTTTAAGGGGGGAGACCTGCATTGCACAGCGCGGAGTCGACCCTCTTCTATTATCCTTCGTGGATCGTAGTTCCCGGAATTTTTGCTGTCTTTCAAACCTGTTTGATTTTCATTGTGCGCGATGCCTTGATGCATCGCCATGAGGAAGATCCAGTAATTAGTATCCAGTAAATACCTGTGGATGCATGATGTTCATTAGAATGCAATGAGTAGGTAGAATATAGCCTCGCTTTTTCTGATCGATTGAAATATTGCGTCTAATTCCACTATTGTGTTCATAATCTAATGATCGAGGTTCACGATAGATGCGTTGGTAGATTGTTACGCCAGTATTCCCATCCAGACATTTGTTGGCGTTGTGTCTTAAACTATCTTCTGAAGTGGTATTCCCAACACCATACATCACCATCAATTATCTAAAGTAATTCGCCAAGTCTTCCTCGCCTTCGTCATGATCTCAATCTACGTATCCTGTCCACCAAGAAACTTTGCGATCACAACTTCAATCTAGATAACACAACCCGTAGCCACTATTCAACAAGTCACAATCAAGCCATTTAAAATTCACTAAAGCCCAAGTCAAGTTCATGAGAGTCAAGTTTAATAAATCAATCACGTTCAAATGCATGCATCACTATCAATAGACTGAGTCTCAAGTGCAAAGATGCCATTCTTCTAAGTAATACAAAATCCTATGCATAGCTAGGAACTTCCAACTCTGCGACTTTAGCATGCCGCTTCATCAAATCACGACAGCGTGTTCCATTCCGCAGAAATTCCAGGTCTTCATCTGTTATCATCATCTCTTCATTACTGACCCTCATATATGTAATTCGTCGACATTTTCCTCTCCTCCTAACCTCGTGCCTGTTTCCGAATCGTTTCGTAAAGACACCATCGACGGCACCGTTCGTAGGCAAAAACTAAATCGAGCCGGCGAACGGGGTAACTCAAGGTGAAAGAGGGGAAAAACAAAAAACAAAAATCATTATTTCACCGAGGATCCCCTTTCTTGCCAACTCCAGTCCCAGATGCTGACCATTCAACAATAAATATCGTCGTGTACTGTAGCGGACGAACCCCCCCTCCCATATACACATAGACACGCCGCCGTAGTGCCTTTTCCGAAAATATACTTCCGTGCCGTTTTATCCTCCCTCATTACCATTTTAGTCCGCTAATGCCGACAGCACCCTGATACTTAGAATCATGACAAGCAGACCGATCGTAACTATGATGAGCAGCGTAAAACTGAACCAACCCATAACCATAGCGCTACTACCGATTCCAGATAAGACGCTACCGTTACCAAAATCTTGTGCTATGACTGACGCGGCTACAGATGCTGTATGTTGCCATAGCACTGACACGAGGACGAAAATAGATGCGATGAAGATGATGGCTAATGCGACTTGGGAGACGGGTCGGCTAGGGAACGGCTTGATCTCGCGGTCCGATCCATCCTCGTCCTCCTCCTCGTGCCAGCCGGGGAAGGTAGCCAGCAGCAAGAAACAGACAAAAGCGAAGATAATGGCGATGATGATCAAGTAAGGGAACACGATCATGTCCTTGAACTGGCTAGCCAACCAAATGAGGTTCAGCGGGTCCTGATCGACCGAAACCTCGTTGGCCAGCGCCGTTGCGTTGTTGCTGCATAGCCAAGAACCTCCGTCGGGGTTGATGCAAATACCAAAGTAGCCGACGCGGGCCTGCAGATGCGCAGTCCCGACGATGTTGCTGATGGCCTGGTTGACATTGTAATCGACCTGTGATGTGTCCGGCACGGCTGTGTACTTCTCGTAGTAGAGTGAGAGTAAGAAGATATCGGGTATGAGCGGCGAGGATGATGAACAACCTGCTAATAGGAGTGCTGTCGGTGAAGGAATGTTAGTACAATGGTCTGAATGAGGGAAGAAGTTGGAATGTAATCAACGTACACAGTAATATTATTGAAACTGCTATTAGTATCATCAAAACATGGTGGTATCCGAGAAACGGTATAAACCCTAAAGTGCTTGTTAGTACTCGTCGATCATGACAATTCCTCGATAGGCTGATTAGATGTACTTACGATACCAACCGATTTGAAATCTAGCCATGGCTTCTTTTTATTTCCCAAAGTTCCCGAGGTGTATTACCCTCTCTCCACTCCCGTCCTCCCGGGGAGCGACGGTGTGGTCTGACGAACTCGAGCAGCACCAAGGCTGGAATGCGACGATATTCGGAGCGGCGTGGAGGGGATGCTCGAGACGGAATGCGAAAAGCACTGTTAATCTCGAAAATCCCAAGGCCGTCGTGTGGAATGCGGTCACCGTGCTTAGACTTGGGTAGTCGGCACGTATATAAAAGGAAGCGGACGTCGTCGAAACAACTTCTACTCGTCGATACTAGAGATATCGCCTATGCTTTTTCTGTGCTTGTCAGATTAACACTTGGAATACACGCACGGAGGGTATTGTGCAGTTGCTGGGTGGACGAGGTAGGGTGGATTAAGGTGAGGAGTAAAATGGTTGGTATGGTAAAAGGTAGTGGTATGATATGATTAGGTATTGTAACTTAGAAGTTCAATCGGTTTTCTCTTCTGGACAACAGCCCTTTGCCCTTCAGAAAAGCCCAGATGGGGAAGAAGAGTAGAATTGTCTATAGAGACTGGTAAATTGTTAGGTTAGCAGGTTCTAAGTCTTCTTTCCCTCCTTTTGCCCTTTGACAGTACAATTGTAACAGAAAAGAGGAGGTTGGTAGTAAAGATCGAATGTATGATTCAAAGATGTAAGATGCATGAGTTGCAGTAGAATCTGCAATTGGTCCTGCCACCAGAATTTCCGTGATGATATCGGAGCCAAGGCCTGGCCCGAGTAAATAAAAGATGTGGCTGGGGGTTGCCAGAGCGATGTGCCCAGTGAAAGCCTCAAACGTTAGTGGGTCCAAGCTAACCGCCAAGTCTTACTACGACCTAAATAGGTACTTTGTTTTTAAGAGTGGTTGGCTAGGTTGCCGATGTACCTTGATAGCCAATTGTTCCTGCGTTAGCGAGGTCAAGTTCAACCAAGTTCAACCAACCAACGTAGACGCCATGCAACAACAAATGACGTGTACTTTGTCCACCTCATCCACTTCACCGTACTAATGCGCTTTTGCCGAGATTCCGGCCGACAATTGGTCTTAAAAGTCTCCGCTCAAACACAAAAATGTACCCCGCGAAATTCGCATTTGCGATCCCCCATTAAGTTTTCCCGCCCATTGTGTCTATCGTCTTTACTCAATATATTTTACCATAGTTATGCTAGGAACTACTATCGATTAGTGCGCAGGTATGTTTTGCTTTCAAAAACCTAGTGTATACACATTTAAACCCCTTTCAGTTTTCCCTCCAAACAAGTTAATCGTATAATCCAATTTCATTCCAAGTTTAGCTCAACTCCATAAATTTCAGCTACATATCAACATCTAACTACATATGAACACGTTGATAATGTCAAGATCCACACTTGTTTACTCCCCCTGTTGAGGTTTCCCGGTTTTGACCCGTGTCCAACGCAAATCGCCATGACTTCAGGATCATCGCTGTTAAATCATCCGAAACACTCAAAAACACGATTGTTATTGTTACGCTCGATGTTCTACTTGCTGCCAATCCTTACTCTTTAGTTCATAATACGTGCTAGGTCTTCATCGGGTCCCTTTACATTTCTACATATGTGCTTTCGGTCTTCACATCAACAAGGGAGCACGTTTATACATAACTACCAAGGTGCTTTACAGACTGGACGTACCCAACAGTATTAAACCCATGCATTGAACCATCTGATAGCCTGGAAGAAAGCCTCTTCTTTTCCAAACTTTTGCTTCGGGTCCGAAATGTTGGCTCGGACACCAAATCCATGTGAAGTACCGCCATATAACGCAAGGGAGTAAGGCAGCCCAGTCTCAAGAAGCAATGCCTCGATTTGTGACCGCCTTGCAGCCGGTGTCATATCGTCCGCATCTAAAGGTCAAATTAGCTTGTAAACAGATATATGTAAAGGCTAGCGAATATTACTAACCTGCCGCTGCGATGCTAGCTGGGCCTCGTATTGCGGAAATCTCCGCATCCTCTAGTAAACTTGGATGAGCAGCAAAACCCACGTCGGCACCTTTCCCCTCCGCCAAGAAACGGAATGCGTAACGGCCGCCAAAGCAGTATCCGGTAACAACGACTTTCTTTACGCCGAGCGTGGTGCGTAAGAAGTCAATGGCCGTCGTGATAATCGGGTCGCTGACTTCGGGCCTATGGTCGTCGAGGAACTTGGTCACGTTGAAATCCGGTTCCCCGTTGATATCCCCCGGAGCCGGTGTGCCGTTGAACAAGTCCGGCGCGACGGTAAGATAGCCCGCTCGTCCGAAGCTATCCGCGAGTCTTGAATCATGTCAATTAAACCCAATAAATGGAGTATCATCGTGACGAACAGTTTATTCTCCAGCAACTGGATACCGAACACATCTGTCAAATATAACACGCCTACGTCCGACGTGTTACCCGTGACATACATGTTGACTATATCAAAAGAGTCAGCCAATTATTATCATCATCATTTCCTGAAACCAAGACACATACTCCCTTCATAGACCTGCTCCTTTCCGACCGGGTCGCCGCTATGAGCAATTATAGAAACGCCCGTAGCAGGGCAGTCCTCTGGTGCTGTCGCGCCAGCCACAGCGCCAATGCTCAAGAGCGTAATTAAAGACGTAAACCTCAGCATCTTTGATATGTGTAGACTAGCAATGGGATGAGGTGCAAGGACTTAACGAGTGCCCAGGTACGTTTTCAATCTTTTGTGTCTAGGGCTTGATTATATATCTATAATATTCAGAACATAACCCCGTTCGCCAAGCAAAAAAGTTCACCGGATTCCTTTTCAAGCAAATCAAGCGTGTGGAGAACGCTCTCAGATGCTCTTTTGGGGGTTCGCATTGCGACGGTAAATCAAGAATGAACTGCCGGCTAATTGTTGACTCCAAGACGTTCATGGCGCGTTAACGTTCTTTTGGCTATGATGTTTTGACGCTTCTATGCTACGTCAATTTCTAAGTTTACGTATATAGCTACCCAAAGACCGGTGTAAGATACTCGTATATGCAAGTCCCTTCCGTATAGCTTAACATGCATAATACGATATACAGACTAGGTAGCAGAGCTTTACTTCTTCATGCCTCATGTCTTTCCTTCTTACTCTCATTTCCACCAGGCTTAAGAATAAGCGTGATGAGTATCCATTGATATGAGTCTCAATACTTATCCAAGCATTCTCATAGTAACCCCATTTTTAAGCTTTAGACCGAGCTTGAGATACGTTAGATCTCATTACCAAAGCTTCCAAGTCGAATTATGAGACCTTGTGATGCACTACACTGATAGTTAGCACATCGCATGTTATTATAATCTCGATCAATTACTTCTTAGATTTCCTTTATAACCAATAACATTCTATATTGACCAGTACATCTTCAACCTTCTGCAGTACCTAGATTCCAAGGTTCCTCTTACGAACGCAATTTAATCTACCAAATTATTCGAAGTGGATTAAGCGCTTGCAAAGAGAAAACACGTGGTAGAGGTTCAATGAAGAAATTTAATCCGACATGTTGGATTCTAGATATGTTTAGCGGGAGGAACCGAGTGGCTTGTCCGAGATAAACGCCGCGCCCTCACCCTGCAGATATCTCAAGATGGCAAAATGCCAATTTAATCGATACTAGATGAGCGATGTGGTAAGATAAGCCAGTCATGTCTTGAACACGCCCGTAGTCTGTAAGTTAAAAACCTATGAGATATGCCGATAGAATACGATGATTAATCAGTAAGATGTCGCTTGTCATGAAGCAATTAAGACTTATCGTCATTGCAGCTGTAGTCACATATCGCATAATATCTACAATTATGCCTACTTCAACTTCTTACGTAGATTTCTTATCTCGGTCATCTAGATACTTCATAAAAGTTGTGAGAGCAGTTATTTTTAGACATGTTGGAATGGGCAAAAATAGGTCAGTATAGATGCTCAATTCGGAAGTTCATTTTCCTTCAATTCAGCTCCTGAATCCTCCTTCAACCCTGACAATTTACATCTACACAATATTATCAACATAGCTGATATGTCATGTTACCAATAAAATCATGCTAATAAGTTTCGTTTCAACCTACGAATACCTACCTATTTCAGCTTGCAAAAGCTTACCTGGACAATTTAGCTACCGCCAACAACCCTTAAACCCGACCAGAAAAGGTGAAAATGGGTTTAAGGATGAGTGTTTCAGCATTTGGCTGCAGATGTGCTATATTCGGAAGAGGCATATGGAAGATCTGAAAACTATATATCTAGTAGTCTTACACGGCAGAATAAGAGAAGTGATCTGCAGCGGTTATCTTAGATCTCTCATTCACAATGAAAGCTTCCACTTCATATCTCCTCGCTGCGCTGGTCGCAGGCGTAAGCGCAAAGGACCAAGGAACTTATGCGGTACTGCGTTTTAATAATGCTGGTGGACAATTCTCTACGGAGGGCCGAATGGACCCCATCGTCAGCCCCGGCTCGGATAAGACGCACTCGCACGGAGTAATGGGTGGAAGCAACTTCGATGTGACCGTCAGCGGCGACCAGCTTCTCGATGCTAGCTGCACCAACGCCAAGATTCTCAACGACAAATCGAACTACTGGGTTCCTAACTTATGGTTTCAATCCCCGGCTAATGGTACTTTCAAGAAGGTGCCCTTGTTCTATATGAATGTCTACTACTTGTAAGTCCCCAACTCCGAATCGCTGTTAGCTAGCTTCTAACGATGCGCCAGCTTCGATGCTACAAATGACGAGATCAAAGCCTTCCCTCCAGGCATCAAGATCATGAGCGGCGATGTTGACAGGAGAACGCCTCCAGCAACAGGGGGTCTCCAGCTTAACCCTACCCAAGGCGAGATTCAAGCAGTCCAATGGACATGTCCCACGCAAGATGCCAACATTGCGCGGTATCCGGCCGGTTCGGACGGAACTAAAGCGGGACTTGCGGATCCAGTAAATGCTGGCGCCGGAGCCGGTTTCCCTGTGGTGAACTGCGATGGCTATGCTTCCCCTCTTAGACAGGATATCCACATGCCCTCTTGCTACAACCCGGAAGCTGGGTTGGACGACTACAAGAACAACATGGCGTGGCCGACGCCTACCAACGATGGCAAGGCAGACTGTCCCGAGGGCTGGGTGCACGTCCCTCATTTATTCTATGAGGTCTACTACGACACTCTGCAGTTCCAGAACGAGTGGACTGCGGATGGCCAGACCCAACCGTTTGTGCTGTCGAACGGCGACCGGACCGGATACAGCTCCCACGCAGACTTCATCTCCGGGTGGGATCAGAATACCCTTCAAAGGATCATCGACACGTGCAATGCCGGCTTTATCGGCATGGATACGTGCCCCGACATACCAGGAGGCCTGAACACTGAGATTTGCCAAATTCCCGCTGTTAACCCCGACCCAACTGAGGCGTGGATCCCGCAGCTCCCGGGAGACAACCCGGTGTCGGGTTGGTAAGCGTAACCGCTTGATTACTTTTTCCCTCTGTTCGATTCACGACTGTATATATTGCCTACGGCCGGCCGTCTTTATGAGTATCTCTCTATTCATGTATATATATCTTGCTGGCCCAGAGGGAGGGCATCAGGCTGTTTGGCGCAACCTTGTAACATGTATTACCAATCGTTTTCTAGCCAGGAGTATGGGAAGACTGTATAAACTTACACAAGGGTTGGATATGAAAAAGGATAGAGTATCAATTTACCAGAGTTAAATAACCTGCTGATTTGCAATCCTTTTCTTGTCTCATCATCAACTTAAGCTATTCTGTTACTTACCTTCGTAATTGCGATACTCGAACCTGAGTACCTAAACTAAATTATTCGAATTAGATATTTCCCTCTTAATTCTACAGCTACCTGGAACTATGTTACAGCAAGAATATTTATGTTACTCCACTTACAGACAATGGAATACTCGTTGAGACTCCTGGCAATAGGAGATGACTCAGAGCTACTACATAAAATTCCCGTGACAAAACGAAGGGAAACGACCTGAATAGAACTCGATTCATAATTCCTATCTAATATTGATTCTTGATGCCTCATTCTATTCATTGGTCAACTCGTTTCATTGTCGGTTTTCAGATCCTGCAGTATTTATTCTTAGTTCATACCACTTTTGTCAAAACAATAACCTTGTATAATAAACAATCTCAAAGAGAATCTCATTGTTAACATCTTTATATTTAAACTAAGTCCTCTGCTCGAATGCTTACTCGCCGGATTTTAAGACACACGCCCACAAGAAAACCATTTCAATTAAGGTACCATATCGTCTAAGTCACTTAGATACCTCAGCATCATCCAAAATGGGAAGCGACTTCAGCCCAGATGTCTCTTCCAAGAGAAAGGCAGACGAAATTTCCTTAGAAACAAATGAGGAAATCATAAATACGGCCAGTCACTCGGAAGGTCCACTGCCTAAGAAGACCAAGGTAAATGGCAATTTGGAGCTCTGGAATGAGGGTATGGACATGCCGTTAGGTAAACCGAGACCTATATTCATAGGTGAGACCGAAGAAAATCGAATCTCTGGCAGTGGTACAATCGAGGATCCCGAACTTATTTGGCTGGGGCCGATCCCTAGCGATGCCATAACTAGAGAAGCCAATGAAGATATTGTACGGAAGGCCGCTCGACGTCTTGAGGCGGTAACACACGTCTATATTAGATGTTCTGTGCAGACTAAGATGTTCGTCGATAGAGACGGGAAGAGAATTCATATTTGGAATCCCGATCGCATAAATTTCCGCAATAGGGTTAGGTCTATAGATCCCCATATCGCCGTAGCTTTCGGTACTACCCCCGATAATCTAGTTCTGTATGGCTTCATCCACGTTGCTGTTGACGAAAATAAGAAGCCAGTTGACTTTGCAGCACGCATAGATGACAAGTACGTACTCGATGGGGATGACAGGGTCTTCGAACTATTCAGATATAATGCAGACCAGCGTGACTGCGGGCCCTATTGTCCCATTCATGCAAGGCACGAGGTTTTAATCGACTCTTGCGAATTCGCAATGCCTGTGGGATGTCCTATTCACGATACCGAAGGGCTCCTTGACCACTTCTGTCGTCGAACACGTTGGAAGACCGAGGGTTATTGTGACCATTACTGCCCTTGTCTCCATGACACTGGTGGATTAATAGATCATTATTGTCCCTGCCCTCATGACGATGTAAGGTTACTGATTTACCCCCCTCACTGTCGCCATATGATGCCAAAGAAAGAACGGCCCGCCCATTATTGTCCTTCGTATGTCTTCTAGACATCAAGGGGCTATGTTTGGTGCGTTTTCGGCTTTGCTTGTACTTGAGAGGGGATCAAAGCTAGGAACGGTAGATATTAGGAAAGCAATACACCTATAGAAGAATATTTGATCATTATTGTGAAGTGATTTTCTAGTAAAGTGATAGGGGCGCTTAGGAACCTCGAGGTATCCTATAAGATTAAGATATATAATATCGAACCGGAGTCATAAGATACGATGGCATATGCCAGCGCTTCGGTAGTATTTTTTATCTTTATATTGATTCTAATTCAGCCGTCCTCTTCGTCGGGCTCTCTATTCCTAACTGACCACACTTGTTTTACTACAATGCCGTTAGGCGCCATAGATAACGACTGAGAATGCATGCTATCACGATTCCCCGTACTTATGATCGTTTTTATCCCAGTCTCGAGGTTTAGCTTAAGGTTAGGCATCGATGATTCTGAGGATTTAGTACTTCGGATCGATCTTCCGTCGTCCTGCCCATCGGTTTTCCGTGATCGTTCGAGGTCCATGCGGTTGAGCTCCGTCTCGCTACCGTCAAAAGGCTTCCTAGAGCCGTTCGTTCTTAACAAGCTCTTGTCTCGATTCGAAAAGGGGTTTGTGGCGCCCAGATACTTTTGCGAATATTTCGGTGGTGTATTTGTTGACCTTCTGACGGACTTAAAACGTCGGGAAAATCGGCGGATCAGTGGGCCTAAGGCAATGAGGGCCGAACATATGAGTCCAGAGGCAGACTCAGCTTCTCCCCATGCCGCAACTGGCACGAGATCGTATGAGAGATCATCGGTTACCCTGGCGAAGAATACCATGCGACATATCGATACGATACATGTGCTTTTTCTAGTTAGGAGAGATGACAATGATACGGCTTAGATAGATCTGAAATACTCACAAGAACCCCAGAGCGAAAATGCCAAGAACTGCCCACTTCCTCCCCCTCTTCAAGTTTAAAGCGATCACAACTGGGATAGGGAGTGCGAGGATGATTAGATCGGTTACGATATTGCCAACGGCGTTCATCCATCCGAGAAGATTACTATCCAAGCATCTGCGATTGGAACTGAATGTCCAATAATCTTCTATAGGCGAACACGGAAAAATAAGAGTAAATTCTTGTGCAATAAGCCAACCTCCAACTACAGCCATCGTAGCGAGATAGAATATACGGTAGTGAGGTACCTCCTGGATTAACCGGTAATACTGGAGGAATAAACTGAATTTTATAAGCATCAATGATGTGTTGTAAGTAATTGTCATGACGTAAAATATCTATAGCGGATAAATTAGAACTTCACCGGTTGGGTTACGGCGGGGAGTGTCAGTATTCTTACTTTGAAGAATTGAACCAGTTTAACTTCGTCCTGTATGTCGTAGATATGCGCGCCGAGTCCGTATCCTGTATGTATGCATTGTACTATTCCATTGCAGAGCATTCCGATCTAGTAGAACAAGTTAGGTATTGTTCGGTCTTCGATGCCGCAGATTGATATCAATTCGCAGACGTGGTAAAATGGCTTACCATTCCGGCCAGAGCCATATAATCATCGTACCAAACTCCCTTCAGGATGAAGTGCCTCGTGTATAATCGTAAACACACAGCTACCGTCGCGAAGAACATACACAAAACTACAGCCGTTATCGTATCGCTGGTGCGGTTGTCGTGGGGGAGACGACTGATCTCCTCCGGGTCCATGCCATTGTAGTAACTCATATCGTCGCCGAATCCTCCTCGGGCTCGTCCGAAGTTCCTACCAGAACGTTCGGTAGATTCAGACGAATATGATTCCCATGACAGAATACCGATCTTTAAAGCATCTTGTCCGACGTTCGTTAGCGCATCTCGTAAGAAAGGTAAAAAATGTATGAAGAAGAAAATGATAGAAGTCGTTTATCTACTATGTAGGTATGTAGAGTAGCACCCAAGTTTTCTTTCGCAGCGGAGTCGTCATCATCTAAGTTCGCCTTATTTTACTATTAACTAGCATCTCCCCACAGGTTAGCCCTTGTTGATCCCCGAAGCTAGAAACTAGTGACTTGCACGACTGGGGAGAACGATTGGAGGGGAAACATAATAATGGGATAATAGAACTTAGTATGTGTAGAGCCCGAAATTCGAGATAGGGATCCATGTAACCGGAAACCGATAGGTTGGTTGCCGCTAGGAGATGCTACATTAACAGACGGTTAAACTCAAGGCTTGGCGGGTAGTTAAACCTGGCAGTTCTACAATTTTGGTTCGACGGAAGAATGAGCTTTGCCTCTTCTAGGACTATGCCGGTCGATCTTGAGCTATGATGATTGAAGCTATCCGCATCATGGTTTAGCTGCATTGATAGTAGTTTCGAACCTTGACCCTAGAGTCTGTTCTCAAGTCGCTTAGATAAACTTGTTAATATTTATGGGCTGTTTTACAGCTCTACTGTACTTTCGATGAAGGTTTAAAAGTACAAGTAATCTTAGACTAATCTACCCCTAATTTTTATTATTCGATAGACCCATTTTGAATACCTATGAGATCTAAGGCACGTAAATGTTTCCTACTCATCTACATATACTACTTATTTCGATCACTACCAAATCAAGCTTATACGTAGGTATATATATATATTCTCAGCAATGCAACACCTATCGGAGGTGTATTCAAAATGAGCGTTTGCATATTGCGAAACAGAAGTTGTCACGCGAGAAGTAACGTGCTTCGCATGGGTTATGAGTCCTTGGCAAGGATACTAGGGAGCGATTCTCGATTCTAGTGTAGAACGGGGGAAGTGGAGGCTGCAACAGTAAGGGGTAGACGGGCAGAGGGGTTAAATGCCCTGAGCTGGTGAGGAACCGTTTCCTTGGACCGACTAGACAAGGGATTTGATGTCGATGTCAAGCTTGTACATACAATAGCTCTTAGATTGATTCCACTCTACAGACTAGGCGATCGCTTGCGTATCTACACCTCCTGCAGCATGGTAAACCATAGCGTACCCACTAGACTCCGCAAGTAGTCGCCAGGGGATTTTATATGAGAAAAAACTACGTAGTAACTTATGCAGTGGCTTGTGCGAGGCCTAATATTTTCAAATTCGAGATCAATAAAAGATCAGCAAGTAAAAGCCAGGGTATTTTTCATATAAAATCCCCTGGCAACTACTTACGGAGTATGTATGGGTTTAGTGGGTACGCTATGGTTTACCATGCTGCTGGAGGTGTAAGTAGGTATGTACATAGTAATGAGCTCAATGACGACCTGGTCTAATCTGTAAGTTCGATGTGAATGAGCCCCGGAAAGAGAATGTATGGTTCCGGGGGACGGCTCGCGCTTTGATCTTCTCAGCATATGTACCTACATACGTAGACCAGGGGTCTGTCAGCTCATCTTGGCAGCCCAATTCAAGCATGTTCCGTACGAATACCAGGTAATCATTATGAACTAAGAACGCGATAAACAAGCTCATTTCAAACCCAGCCCTACGGTATTAAGAATAATATACAGTATTATGCACTATATGATTGCCAATTAGCCTTAACAGAAACTAGCTTTTCCGTCACTTAACCTTGGGCCATCCTTCGATTTGTTAGGGTGGAAAGAAAAAACAAAACTTCTCCAAGAAATCTAGAAAAGCATAGAACTACCACCATAAATACCAACCTCGTTACATTTCTCCGATATCACCGATATCAAATCCGAAATAGGATAATCATCCGCCGATGGATCAAGATAAATAGATGTTCTTTGCCCTCAAGCGATCTATCCCACTATTCTATGACTCAAGATCACTAAACTCTGTCTCGGCAGCTAAGAGGTTCTAGGTCTTTAGCACGAAAGGTTCTAGGATAGCATCTCGACGATTTATCTGAAAAGAAAACGCTTTAAACTTTAGGTATTCTCGTTTGCAATAGGGATTAAAAATCCCTAGCGGGCGGGAAGTGATCAAGTGTGGATATATAAAAAATAGACCATCGGCCACCCCGAGTATTTAAACCTAATTGAATCCTATGAAACCTATCGACCAACGCTCAATATGCTTAAGATTCTAGATGCGATTCGATGGAGAATGAGTAATCGGCCATCGAGATAGGATATGCTAACTCCATTGCTTTATTCATATTAGTGTCACATCATTCACTACTTAATCGTTCTTCCTTTAATGCCTACCATTATTTTAGGAGGGCAGACGCAATCGTCATGATTTCGTAAGTAGTAATTATACGTACGGATCTAACATATACACATAATGCGATATTTCAAAAGAATCATCATCTCTTGCCTAAATCCACCTTGCATCCATCAGCTGGCTTCAGAGATATCGTTGCCATCTGTCTCTCCTTTCCCGACACTTGTATCCGCTCGCCGGCCGGGAGTCCGATGGAAGGAAAGCGCTGCAGGATGCGCACTATAGCATACGCGCCCCCGGTTAAGGAAAAGTCCACTAGTAGATCAAGTCAGCGTACAAGGTTTCAAAACCCTTAGCATAGACTACTAGCATACTGCCTAGACAAGTCCGGGGACCACCGCCGAAAGGTAGGAACGTCCATCCACGATGGATCGTATCGCGAGAACGGAGGGGTTCCTCGTCCCATCTTTCAGGGCGGAACAGCTCGGCATCCATTCCGTAGAGATCGGGTCGTCTATGGATACAGTAGGCGCTATATAGTACACTCATTCCTTTCGGGACGAGGATAGGCGACTTCCCGTCATATCCTCCCCCAGCTGGGAGTATCGTATCCCGGAGTGCGGTGCGAGATATCAGGGGTAGTGGAGGGTGTAATCTTAATACTTGTAATATCATATCAGATAAACTGAGCATACAGACTTCCTTGATACACCAACTTACCTTCTTTTATGATGTTTTGAAGATAAGTTAATCGAAGTAGATCTGCTCGTGTCAGGGGAACAACAGTCTCATCTACTTGAGAAATCTCCAATTGGAGTTTCGCCATAATTGATGGATGCCTCACGAGATGAAAGCTAGCTGAATGTGAGAATCCGACGCATTAAAACTTACTAAGACGAACGCCACTTACAAGGTCCAGGATAGGAAAGTAGCCGTAGTATCCCTTCCTGCTGTGAGAATACTGATAGTATGGCCTCTTAGCGTGTCTCGCCCAGGGCAATACTGAGCGATATTCTTTAGGAAAGGGGGTCTCCCAAAATGCTCTTTATCAGCGCCAGCTATGAGAGCCTTGTGTATCACACGATCTACGAATCGATGGATGACGTTACATGCCTTTCGAAGTTCCTTGTCGCCAACAAGCCAATGCAGCTTCTGGAGTCGAAGCCTCTTAGCTGAGATGGCCTGGGCCAGATTGAACGCCTCTTCAAATTCCCGACCTGCCACGCTAGAGTCTAGGCGCTGGCTTCTTACAGACTCTCCAAAGAGGAATTCGGTAGTTACGTCGAGCGCTAGGCGGAAGAATAGGGGCTCCAAGTCGATAATATCTGTAGTCGCGCTAGTAATCACTTGTAACAAGTTATCTATGTGCGGTCTTAGGATATCTAAACTTTCATAGTTCCGATGATAGAAATGTGGGCGTAAAATATCCCGCGAACGTTTCCATACATCACCTTCTTGAATAAAGATACCATCTCCAAGTAGCGGAGAGAAAATGGTGCGTCGAAAACCCAAACCCCAATCTATAGGTAGTTAACATCATAGCCCTTAGGTGTTCTATAGGTATTGCTCACCCTTGGCATTAGACAGAAGTATAGCCTCGATGACCGCCGAGTCAACGGTCATAAGAGACTCATTCCATCCGATAATCTGTCGAAAGGTATTCCCAAATCTACGGAAATTGTCTAGGAAGAACTCCATAACGCAGAGTTCATCAGACGCAATCTGCGTTCTTACTAACAAGTCGATACCCAGGGGCCATCTATTTGCCAGTGTGACCGAGTCGCAACTAAGTATGTCCCCTTCCCCGAGACATGACTTCGCCTGCACGATATTAGAATCAGCCCCTAATCGCCGATGCAAATGTCTCGCCTTTTCGCTTAACGCATTATAAGCTTGGTAGACGAAGGAGACCACGGCTGCTGCAATCAGAAAAATCCAGACAAGCATCATAGGAAACTCTCAGCGTCCGGGTTACCAAGTAGGACAAGTGTTAGAGGGATCAACAGAATATATATTCAGAGAGACGTAACTTTAGAAGCATCTAACTAGCAGATTATATTGTACACGTTAACTTATAATACCTTACAGTACTGAGTATAAAAGAGCTCAGAGATACTAGCTTTGAAGGTAGGAAAAACGCTCGTAAGGTAAAGCCGTAACCCTCTTACACGTCGTCCTGCATGACGATAGTTGTTTGTATGGAGCCTGTCCTTATTGGAAGCAACGTACTTTATATATATGCCGTGTAACACCGAGAACGACCTATTTGGGTAGGGGGCCAATGAATGTGCTCTCGTTTTAGACACTATTGTTTGCTTTTTATCTACAGTGGAAAGATCATCAGAGCCAGAACCCCAAAAGTTCTATAGAGTAGGTCTAGGTCGACCTAACCGGTTATTCCGAGTTGTTGGAACCGATATATCGATCTATCGGACCCATCTGACTAGATATGACTGCTTCGATTCATAACACCCCGCGGCCATCACTGTTAGATTCTAAGCCATTCGAAAGCAGCATATGACCTTGGGGTATGTTGATCTGATGGTAGCAAGTGAGAGTTTATGAAATTCTATTTGTGAACCATAGTCCGACAATATCCTGCTCGACCCGCAACTGTCAAGAACCCGCTCTGAAGGTAAGTTACTTCGATGTCTTGTAGTTCTCTTATGTGCTGTTTAATTGGAACTCTCATTTAATAACGGCAGAGCAGGCTAACCACCCTATGAAGGTGGCGCAACGCCATCGCCTTGAGAATTCCCACCGCTGGCCTTCGTCATCTCCCACCCTCGATTCCTATACTTCTTCGGCCAGATACCACAGCGCCCGGGAGCCATGATGCCGTTAGGATCCAGCGCATCCTTCAACCTCTCGTGGAACTTCATCAGCGCACCGTCGTTCCAGTTATATGTTCCAGCGACCTGATCCATTAGCACCAGATGCGTTCGATATTCTCCATACCCACACGCCGCGGCGTCCTCCACCAGATGTCGTAGGCAGTCTAGCACATCTTTTCGGCGCTTGGGATCTGCGCGATCATATACAAGCTCGACGATGAGATGCATTTCGCGTAGACCGACGCAGAACGCCGGAAACAGGTCAACTCCGAATTCGTCATGTCTTTTCTTAGCTAGCTCGAATAACTTGGTCGCGTCGGTGCCACGGATTGGGCTGACAGGCGAGAATGCGATATGGGCGCCGTTGGGCATCCAATTGACCCAACGTAACTCATGGAGTTCAGGAGTACCTGAGGCGATGCGGTCCCTAGCCCAAAAATACTCATCTGGTGGCAGCGTCGACGGATCAATCCGACGAGCACCCGGGACCTTCTTGAATTCGGTGTCGATAATAGAGAGCTTATACTGGCGGATATGCGGGGGGCCATACGACATGCCATAGTATGCCCACGTATGGTCACCAATGGGTAGAGTGGCCGCAACCTCGTGGACCACACTATCCGGAATCGTACCCTCACCTTTATAAAAGTCGGTTCGCGGTCTACCGCGGACTGCGATAGTTTGCGTGACATGGCGCAGTTGTGCAACATTCTCTAGGATATTGCTAATTCGGAGCGGACGAATGATCTCGATCTAAAGGTACTAGCTTTTAGCACTCCGCATAACGTTGTCTTGATTAGGATACTTACTAGCTGGTTAAGGTCTTCTTCCTTTTGAAAGGTGTACATCTGCCAAATACAACATTAGTACTTCACAATTGCAGATTTCCAGCCATGATTGAAGCCTTACAAAACCTTCATGTCCGCCTGGGTTCGGCATCAACGTCATTCCCATCTTGGTCACAATGCCAAAGTTAGACTGCGAGAAAATTCCACTAGATGCCAGTTTGTGAGTAAAAGGTTGCCACTCTCAATGTCAATGGGGATGACTAACTCGGAATATGGGCCAAACCCGTAAGGAAACGTCTGCCAAGTATTGTTACCCGGAAGAGCGCCCATACCAGTTCGGATGACCTCTCCCGTTGGAAGTACAACTTCTAAACCCGAATGGCATGCCCAATGGTCTCCGTAAGGCGTGTATCCAACGCCGCGATCTACAGTGTTCCCTATGACGGAACCGCCGCCGACATCTGGAACATCAATCCAAAGATGATCGTATCCCTTTTTTTTGATCGCGTCATGAAGAGCAAAGAAGGAGACACCCGGCTCAAGAAGGCACGTATAATCTTCTGGGCTAATGTCAAGTATCTTGTTCATGCGTCTGCCAAGATCAACAAGGACGGATCCACGCACTCGAGGAGCTGCACCGCCATATCCCACTGATACCATTAGTTACAATGTCCATTATATTCTACCTCTGCCCACTGACTTACGATTTCGACCCATTGAAATGGGGGAAATGGGTATGTGGTACTTGTTCGCCCATAGAACAACTTGCTGGACTTCTTCGGTACTTCCAGGATAGACCATTGCTGATGGTACCAATTCCTCTTCATCGAGGATTGTCATCAAGTCATGGGTATTCGGATCTACATATGTTAGACAACAGTTTCTAGTCATTTACGCTTCACTAACGTTCCATGTACCTATTGCACCAATGTTAGAATACATGTTACTAGTAGACTAGGTAGTCTATAGTACGATACTGATGACTTACCATCCATCTTTCAACGGCTTGTTATTACGTTCGACATTATCTTGGCCCAGCTGCTTCTCAAGTTCACCAAGCGCAGTAACAAACACCTGCTCTTCAACACCAGGAGGGATAACAGGTCGTCTGTCACTTGTGGCTTTGGGTTTTGTTCTTGTTTCAAAGACGCCGGCTTTAGCCTCGCGAGCTTTCTCTAGTAGGAATTCCGGGATACCAGAGTGCTTCTCCGAAAGAAGCGGCACGTCTGACTGAGCCTCATCTAAAAAGGACATGGCGTAAAGATCTAACAGGTGAGTCAACCAAGCATTAGGGGACCAAATACGGTACTCCGTTGTTAGATCATCTTATTTATATGCCACTCATATATCGTGCAGCCAAGGGCTATCGTCTACCCCGCAGGTAGCTAACCTCGTCAACTCATCTGCCGAATATCGACCCTGCATTGTGCCGATCGCCGGCGTTAAAAGGAGGATTCCAACTCCAGAAACTCGTATGTCCCAGGAACGGCGGAAGATCTAGACCAGTTTTATCAAGCAGATGTGTCTTCGGGTCACTCTTCTCCAATATACACGCATGCAGCTGTTAAGCCTACTTGGGGTCAGCTGAGCTGCTTGTGCATCATCCTAGCTCTTAACTAGCCTACCTTATGATAGAAGTTTTCGAGACTCCAATATGTCAAGTAGGTAGGAATATAGCAATTGTTGGTTTGAAGAGCATAGCTAAACCGAGGTTTCTGGACCTCATATTCAGTATCTCAGTATCCGAATACTTCTCCAAATTTATCGTGTGCTTTTAACATTTACTTAGTCGGTTCGTGATCTGCGAAACTAATACTTAGTATACGACCATATTGCTACAGAATATAGCTGAAATCTTGAAACATAGCATCATCAAGTCAAGGAATTAATTATGATTCAGGTGATAATGAAATTATTTCATCTCACTAAAAGATAGAAAAGGGGTTGTGATATGCTATTAACAGCCATATGCATGAATTGAGCTACCTATCTCCTTTTCTCAAACACCCTTATTTATACTTCGTACTGTGCCACAAACTACGTCAACTTTCCGCATATTGACCCGCCTTTTCTCCTCAAAATATGCAAGTTACCCCACAGTTCCATTGTTCCACATCCACACCGAAACAGCTCCAACAGCTTAAAGAAGCTATTAAAATTTAGCTAAACTAATAAGAATCCAACTTACATAAAAACTGTCTTAAAATAGTCAGCTTCCTCTTTGTCTCAGCTCCATCTTCTCTTTTCAATAGCGCTAAAGTGTACTAACCTATTTATTATCTTATCAAAATGCCTGGAGACGAAATCAAGCATCCAACCCCAGCTGAAGCCTTCAAACTTGCCGCTAACCATGCCGCTCTGCTGCGGGGTCTATTTCTCGACCCTCGGTACAAGTACCTTCAAGACCCCACGCCAACCTTCATAAAACCCAACCTCGATGATACCCCCGCCGGTCTTTACTTCGTTTCCGACTTCGTTCAGAGGACTTATGTCGAATACGTCGTCCCCTTCCTACCAGCCGGCGCCACTCGAAAGTGTAAAGCCATCGCTAACCCATGGGCGTGGAATGATCCCACCTATTCGTGGGAGTGGGAGTGGGACGAGCAGACGTCGACGTTGAAGGATAAGGATGGCAATGTTATCGATTTCCCCAAGTTGCCGGAAGCCGATGCTGTTAATAAGATGAGCGACGTGTTAGGTAGAGGGTTCATGGCTCGGAAGATAATCCTCGAGAATCGCACCGACATTAAAGCTCGACTAATGGTTGGAGGCCAACCCTTTGACTTTGGTAAAGAAGTGGAAGATATCGTGAAGGAGACCTATCCTTTTTGATAAGGAAGCCATAATAGACAGTATGTTGACAATATTGGACTATGCCCACTAGGATTGGGGATCGATTTGCCTATACTACAATCTGGATGTTGCTATAGGGACTTTGGTGGGCTACGTCTTGTTATCGTCCGGAATATTTTGGCCTCGTTTGACACAAATTCCACGACCAAGTCACTCTGATTTATCGGATTTAGCCAGAAGAGAATGCTCTCGCGAATTTAATAACTAGGGTAAAAAGGATAGCAAGGTTTCATGCCTAAAAGATCATTACACATGTTAAGATTCTTATACAACAGTGAAATTCGCTGACCGTAGAACCACACATTTCTCAACCATAGTCAGATATCAGATTATTAAACATTATCTAAGAGCCTCCACCTTAAAGTTCAATACATCGTTCTGGGGTATTCAACAATAGTTGAATGAGTATCTACCTGTTGCGGTGATTTCTTTTTCCACTTCTTCATCATTGCTATCGTTGATCACTATCGGTGGAATGATAGGATAATGTGATGTTGTATTGGGACGATTCTAACACCCCACTTCCAATTGGGTCAAGTCTTCTATAATTGAATAGGTACCTAGGTACCTATCGTAGCTGGATCTGGGTTTGTGGGCTAGTAGGATTTCAATCCAATAATTGGTCGGAGTATTTGTCTTGCTGACGATTTGGGCATCGTTCAGACCGAAACGGTCTTCTCCGTAAGTTCTTCCGCGCCTCTTCGGATTTTTGGTTTTTGGTTTCCATCTAACTTTTGTGTAGCTATGCGGATCTCTTCATGGGTGTATGCATATTTTGTCAGAAGCCATTTTTCTTGAGAGAGACGTATTTGTCACCTTTGTTGTTGAGGCACGCGTTTGTATTGCGATGGTAATTAACTGATAAGGAAAGTTGACAATGACATATTGCAAATAGACAACGAAACTTTTGTCGTCATGATGCGACCACTATGTCTTGGGTAGGTAACCTTCTATCTAATCGCATTTGTTGTAGTAGAAGTTGTTTGCCTTGATAGAAATGCGCTCTTGTTTTATGCAGGCTTGATACGCCGAGTATGGGTGTCGACGAATCATTTAGTTCATCAATGGATGTGATATTATAGGTGTGGCTGTTAAATCGTCGATCATACTGTCGTACCCTTTCCCCTTGCGTCTGGACATTATCATCCTTTTCAAATGTTAGCATCTAAATGAAACGCCGTAATGAAATATACATATTTGTGACTTACGCGCTTTACGATCCATTCCATCTGCCCGCTAGCCATGTCGCAGTTCCTTGCTCTGTCGTGGAACTAGTCTTCGACATTGAAGATCTCCTGTTGGTCTACGTTAAATATAACCTCTTTGGCCTGTTGTGTAGTTGTAAGCCGTAATATAGTTAGATACGGTCTCGCTTATAGCTGTTTAGTTGTTGTCAGGTTACTGGTTAGGATAGTTTTTTTTTTTTTTTTTTTTTTGGTCAAGTTTCTTTGCTTGGGTTACATGTGTTTTCGCCTTAAAGGTATCTATGACCCATTCGTCTGGGTAGGGTTTGAGCTCTTGACTTTGAGCCCTTTGTGTTGGTCTGGAAGATGGCGGGGGAGCTTGATATTTGCTCTTGGTCTCTGGAGGTAATAGAGTTACGAATGCTATAATTCGTGTCCTCTCAGAGGTTATCTTACGCACCCAAGGGAGACTGTTGTTCTCGTGGAGGAATGCAGCCACTTGGCAGCAATTTGCTATCTCATCCTCTGACATCTGTTTTAAGTTTGACTAAGGAAGAGGGGTAGGTCTGGTCTGGGGATGAGGTTTGGGGATGAAGAAGACGGGGAGACGTTGTGGTATCTGTGGTATCTGTGGTATATCCTTCTGCCGAGATGGGCTGAATGAATATATACGATTTAGGAAAAAGACGGAGTGGAGCTACCAGAAGTGTAGTTAGTAGTTGTTAAGTTGAAGAGATGATGTTTTAGAGAACATTAGTACTGAGCACTGAACTTAAATCTTGAATGTTAGATAAGTTCTTTTGCGCAATATCTACAGTTCTTTCTTGAGGTAGTCACTTCCATTTGCAAGATGTAGATAGACACCTACCATTTCATTAAAGACCATACAGCTGTCGCTGCCAGTGGCCAATGCGTGTCGGGGACCGGCAGGACCTTCCCTATGATTAAACCTTCTCAAGAGCCCACGTTACTTCCGTATTTCGCATTAATCCACCAGTTACCTAAGCTCGGAACCGGCCGAAAACTTGGTCACATCTTGATCTAGGCGACCCCGGCGGTTGTTCGGGTACCTGAGCAGCTGAAGTCAGCTCAGCTGCAACGCGGTGGCACAGGTTCAAAGATAGTACCGGTTATAGCTTAATTGACCACACTACGAATCCAGAACCATGGTACTGGAGGGCAATATAAGTGGATATCAATAGAAGGAGGTAGTCAGGTATATAATATAGTGAAGTTATGTAAGATAGGATATAATACATGCAATTATTAAAATAAAGAATACTCCCGCGTACAACCCATTTAAAACCAATAAATGCCCTTCTAAATATCCTTTTTGATCGCTAATCATGACATGACGTGTTTGATGTTAAGTACCTAGGAGATAGGCGTTCAATTGATTATTAGGTAGGTACGCCACCAGTCATTTACTCTGTATAATACTCTAAGACTAGCGGGTCATCGGTTGCGCTTCCGTACGCATTACCGCCGTAGTCTAAGTAGCCGCTTATGTACGGTGGGGGGATCTCCCGAAGGATCGACAGTGCATCGCCAAAAACCCAGGCGGTTTGCATACCTGGCACGATAATGTTAGTATAAATAAAATTAATAAATTCGGTATCAATCAAGTAGTCTTACCCATAATCATATGCTGCAGGATGTGGCAATGCATCATCCAGGCACCCACATTGTCTTCTGTAACTCGGATTCGCCACGCTCGCCAACCGGACGTGGTGTTATCGGCACCCTTAGATGCATATCGATGTAGCATCGTCGTGTCTCGTTTCATAGGTGTATAATTCTTGAAGTGCTTCTCGTTGGCCACCGCATTGTATGTACCGTCGCCTGATCCAAGGTCCCAATAATGTTCGCCATGTGCGTGCATAGGATGATACTCGAAGCCACCTGTAGGGCCCGAATTACTTTGCCATACGATATCTAGGACCTCACCAACTAGGGCTGGGAATGCTCTTGTTTTAGGGTCCCATCCGTTATTGGCTAATGCTGCTTGGTAGTCTGGCGTCTTTCCTTCGATGTAGGCTTGAATTAGGTATGGTGTATAATGTAGTTTCTGCGCTTCTACTTCCGTCCATGTCAGATTATTTTGCCTACACTGTCAGTTAATAATCCATGTTATGCTAGTCATAAATGAGCTGAGTTAATACTTACACCCACACCATTGAGCCATTTATTGTACTCCCGTCGTATGTGCCATTGATAATATCCTGGCTCACCGTGATGTACAAGGTCCGGGTTACTTCCTTGAGCGTAGGGAATGGCTTGCTAACATTCAAGGGCGACAGAGTGTATTCTAGCCACTGAGGAATTGAGCTACCATCTGGAGGTAGAGTAACAGGCGGCTTATCAGGGAATTTCGGCAATCTACGCTTATGTTTTCCATCTCGTGGATTGGGCGACCGATGTTCTTGTACCGCATTTCTCCTTGTCTTCGCTGTTAAGCTATCGATGTTGTATTGTAATAGCGCATATCCTCCCATGTCTTCTGGACGGCCACGGCTTTCGAATCGAAACCAATACTGACCCTTCTTCCCGTCCGCTTCAAGTTCATGTTCACTCTTTGTAGTTAGCAGAACATCGAATCGTTGACCACTTCCAATCTGGATATGATCTGTAATAGCGGGTTTCGAGTAAAGCCCATCGGCGGCGATCACCGTGAGATTAGGGTGACTTTCAATACCAAATTGTACAAATGATATAGCAGTTCCGCCAACAAATCGAACTCGGTATGTCGTTGAGGGTTCCACGTTGACGATATAGGGTTTGCAAGAGTCGTCGGGTGCTTCCTCGAATGATTTATTTCCAGTACGGTCGTTGAAGATCAAGGCATTGGGTTCGCCTGACCACTTGAAGGGTTTAGATGTGAGACCCGTTTCTACCTCCTCGTCCGTTTTCATGTACCAGTCGGCGAATACAATGGGAATATCTTCATCATATTGGTAAGGCGGCTCGTCTTGATCCTCTACTACCAATAGTCCGTGGGCTGTGACGGCTTGAAATCCCATATGAGAATGGTAGAAATAAGTACCGGCGTCGCCTACCTCAGGGTGTATTTCGTAGTCAAAGAACCTGCCCGGAGCTATTGGCCATTGGGACACTATAGGTGTCCCATCCGAGAAAGGTGCTGTTCGCATGGTGAGTCCATGCCAGTGCTAAGAATCCATGAGTCAGATAAGGACGTACACCAATGTCTTGGCCGTTTAGCTCTCACATACCACCGTGAAATTAAGATCAGACATGTCGTTGTATACTCTGACCCAAGTTGTCTTTCCCTCCTTCAAGTATAAAGGAGGCCCGGGCATTGTGCCATTAAATATTACCGACTCGCGCTGCTCGCAGTTCATAGTAATCTCCTCGAAGGTTACATGAAGTATATATTCGGGTTGCCATGACGAATCGTGAATAGATGCTGTCGTAGCGACGGCACCTCTTTGTAGTAGTCCTACTTGCAGTAGTGCTGAGGGCAACAGGCTCAAATGCCACCGCATCTTGAAGCGACGAACTTGAGTTTGCAACGAAGGCAGGCTTGCAAACTTAACAATCCGACATTTGGCAGGTCTGAGAATATTTTATACAACTTCGCACGTCAGGGTATGTGAACCCGAACCGGCTAGGGGTGGACCCGAGATCAATCTAGCAAATATCAATAGCGAAGGAATGATCCCCATCCTTATTACTACGGTACGTCCTCATGACCCATGCATGATTATGGCCCTTTAGTTGGACGGCGTGTAACTCAAGCCGGGGGGGTCACCACATGGACATGCTCGATATGTGGGAGGAGATCTATGAGCTAGCCCACTAGGGAGCTGAATAAGACCTAAAATTGAGGCTATCCGCACGACGGGTAACAGGTAGGTTCAGATAACAGTCACGCAACTGAGAACTAATTTGAACTCTTCACGATGAAATTTCACCTTTCATCGCTCGTTATGCGTAGCGAGTCTTGACAAGATTCAGGGAGACCGAGATTCAGACTGTGAATCGAGTAGGATAGTACGGAGGTTCCAACCGTGGGGAATTATCGCGTATGCATGCTGCAAACCCGTAGATAATCTGGTGTACCGATCCCTACATTTAGAGGCATCTATTTTCTTGTCTCATGTTTTAAGAATGCGCCCTCGCGCGAGACGGGGATGTCGGCACTACAGATCGCGATAGCAAACGGCGAAGCCGACAAACATTAGTAGTATGGACGATATGGATAGTATGAATAGTATGGATGGGTAACAGTCGGAACAGATGCCAAGCACTCTATCTGAAAATCAAGAGCTTCTCATGCCCGTATCGGCAATTAGAGGAGAATATGTCTATAATTTCCCCTTTTTAGGATACCAAACCCCACTAGAGACCAGCTTAGTGTGGCAACGGGAGTAAAACGAGTGAGATGGATAGAAAAAAAATTGGGGATAGTCAAGATAGGCGGAGAGGAGGTTGAGAAGAGGTTGAGAAAGGTCAAAGTCTAAAGTCGGTATGACGAATAAAGGTGAGGTCAAAATACATGAGCCAATGTTTCAAGTTTTTTTTTGGCGGTATGATGATCTTCTACGGTGATCTCCAGTGATCTCTAGTGCTCCCTAGTGCTTCCTAGTGCTTTCCAGTGTTTCCCAGTGTTTCCTTCTACATAGTGTATGTACATGGTGGGAACTTCTTAAAACGGACTTGCCTTTTTCAGATTGGGGCTGTATTGATTGGGATGGGAAGGAAGGATGTATGTAAGGGGTTTTCGTATAGTGCATTAGGCTATATTAAATGCAAGTAATCCAATAGGATTATCGTCGCCTACATGTATTACAATCCCGGTTTTCTTATGTCTTATGCAGGTACAGTATAATAAATAGTACCTGATGTATTAAACCGTAAAAGGAGGTAATAAGCGTCGCCACGTTCAAAGCCACTGGTCCCCTAAAATCAGCCGCATAAGTCTAAACACAACAACCTTATCTACCTGGTACCTAGGTACCCACATCCCTATGAGGCACGGGCCATCCATACCTCTTCATTCATACTTCATACATACTTCATGCTTCATGCCACTAACATGTAAGTTCCCCTACCTCCTACACAAAACTTGCTTGCATCAATAGCGCATTCTTCAAAACTCTACTTCAGGTAGATGGTAAGATCATCACGTTATAAATCAGAGTCAATGGCGAGTATCGAAAACGACTATTTGGCTCTTCTGGGCTCATGGTTTAACAAATATGTCTTTCATTGAAGGAACTATTTATTCACGAGGTTAGAATTTAGTGCACATATTCGACTAAAGCTCACTGTCATGAGAAGCTTCGCGAAAGCAGCTGATAACCTTCGGATAGCGGTCCCTCTTAAATGCCGCTTCGCAATCTCGCGACCCCGATCTACCGCTCGGGATCAGCCAACAGACGAGAAAGAAAGGAAGTAGTGAGGCTACATTGCCTTGTTTTGAAGAACAGAAATTGTCCGACGTGGGGCAATATCTAAGTCACATATTGACGACAATGAATATCCCGAAATCTGAGACTAGAAAGCGGCTTGTGACCAATTTTCCCGGATTTGTTCAACGTGACCCAACATTACACAAACACTCACACAACGGATACGAGTGTGGCTGTTCCAGATAATGCTTCGCTTCGGTACGGAGATATGTTCGATTATGCAGCGTCCCTTGAATTCCTATCAGCGAAGAGTTTGCGTCTCGGCTCGGAACTTAGCACTCATCAACCTCTGCTTCTGCATAACCATAGGTACTAAGTTTCTCGATCCTTACCTAGGATAGTGCATGAAGACCAAGTCGCTATTAACGATAAGGCATCTAATATATGTTACCGTTGCAAGTATTTTATAACAGCTACATTAAACTTATATACAAGAAATGTCATATTCGGCTTGCTATTCTCGTTTATAACGACGCTTCAAAGTCATCGACAATATGGACCTTAATACTACCGTTACCAGTAGTAGCATTTAGTTCAAACGCGTCGAGGGCCTTCTCGAGCGGGAACTTATGTGTGACCAATTTATTGAGGTCAAGTATGCCACCGCTCATGCATTGTATGGCGGCCGGCCAAGTGTCCCGATATCGGTTGATAAACTTGAGATCAATCTATATTAACAGTATCATGTTAGCTGTTGATTCTCCAAAATGGTGTACGATTATGTCAACAACTGACCTCAGCAAGGGATAAATGCATAAAAGGGATATTATTCATGACCGGCTTTCCCACGCCAATCACCATCAGTGTTCCTCCTCTGCGAACAGAGAAGGCAGCTGTGCAGACGCTGCTCTCAACACCAGTACACTCCATTACTGATGCCGGGGCCGAATACTCATCCTTTCCGTATAGCTTTCGGATCTCTCTAGCGTTTTCCTCGGCACTTAGCTTTGAATTGATTTGGTAGGTTTGGCAACGTGGGACGAATTCCCTAGCGAACTCGAGACGCTTTGGGTCAATATCTGTAATGACAAGTGGGTGAGCACCAGATGCCCTCGCAGCAGCTAAAGCAACGAGCCCAATTGGACCTGCGCCGCAAACTAATGTCGGGCGACCAAGCTTCACATTAGCTCCATTGATGCCGTGGAGTATTACACTTAGTGGTTCAAGCAGTGCACCCTCGGAATAACTTAGATTATCTGGGATCCTTGGGACTTGTCAGCTCTGTCTTAGTTACGAATAGTCTTGTGGCCCAGACATATGGACTAGCAGATCTGGATCGAACATACTTGTATAGCCACTTTGCCGGGTGAACCTTGAATCTCTGGATAGTTCCATTATAGGGCCATATTCCGGAAAATTTGACGTCCTCGCAAAGATTGTATCGGCCTTCCATACATAGAAAGCATTTTTCGCAGGGCTCTTGGGGCTCAACTCCCACTCTATCCCCTAAACAGACGATCAAGATCTCCGGTTAGCACAACATATAAAGATCTTGCCAAGTGCAAAACACAACTTCGCACAGGTACGAGATCAAAAGCAGGCTCACCTGGTTTGAGATTGGTCACTCCCTCTCCGCACTTAAGCACAATACCAGCAGCTTCATGCCCTAGGATGCAATCACCCTTAACCTCAAGAGATCCAATGCGTCCCGATTTCCAAAGGTGCATATCTGATCTATATAGCTGAAAGTTAGTTCGCTATGCGGGATACTCGAAACGCACGAATGAAACTTACCCGCAGATACCTGAACATTTGATCTGCAAAGTTACCTCTCCGACACCGGGTTCCTCGATAGGAGCATCCACCAACTTCAGCTGATGATCCTCGGTAACTTGCAGTGACGGGTTTTTGAAACCCTTTGCAATTCCATTAGTGTGGCCATTCGCGTGGCCATTTGAATGGTCGCCGTTCAAGTCTATCCCCGGCATGTTTAATAGGTAATGTGCTTTGATAGTGTTTCGTTCCACGACTGAGCCAAATTTCAATCGATGGGTTGTAATGAGGGATTTCGTAGCCTTCAATTAAAGTATAATAGTACTAAGCTCGTCGACTCGAAGAACCACGTTTCGTTTTATAAATTTCCGTGGCTACCGCGATCCGTATATTTCTCAACGGGTTTAATCATGGAAGGCCGGTTAGCCCAATTAGGACTTCCGGCGGCGACATCGTCCACGAGCATACCCAGGACCTACCACCGGCGTAAGCGTGACAGGAGCCAATGTGGGGAAACCAATCCTATTGGACATTTGCCAATTCATCCCCTGCCCTAGTTCTTGGTCTGTCTCCGCATACCGACAGTCCAGACCACCCAAAACGACCTCGAGAGAAGCTCGCGATTCGCCTTTCCCAAAGACCCGCATATTCCGACCATCAGGCTTTGTCCCCATAGCTGCATTTTGTGCTCCCTTTGGCACGGGGAGAGCAAGAGAACAATGCTACCATAGTATTGCATGGTTCCTACCCTATCTACCACTGCGATGCTCCCATATTATTGTGTATGAATGGTTCCTTTTATAGGGCTTTTAACCTCTTAGGTATTAAAGGATATATGAAGGCAATAGGACGTGCCAGCCTCCAAACCAGGGTTATTATACGTAAATACGTAAGTGTGATTCTCTTGGCTAACTCTGTGGTTCCTTTATTATTACTACTACTACTCACTGCTGCAATCGCTGAGTGTTCATGTAACGCTCCTCTGCCGAATTTCGGTCTACGATATTGCAGATGGGGCGAACTAGTGGAATAATCACTCTACTTCACCGGTCTATCACAAAATGTAGACGCGCGAATGGAGACACGCGGTTTTTTATCCCTCGACGTCCTAAACCGTATGCTCTATCAAGCCTGTTTGAGTTGCGGGCGAGAACAATTTCCCGAAAAGTCTTTCCGGGGACCAGACTACCTAGTGCTAGCTGCCCCCTCACTGCGCCGTACTTCCCCCCCGCCATGCTCGGCTTTCCCATCCCGCAAAGATGGATGACAGACTAAATTCGGCTTGTTAAAAGATGCTCCACTCCCAGCGTGTTGGTTAGGTAGCGTGGTTGACGGGAGGACCCGCACATAGTTTGGCGAGATCGCTCTTTGCTGTGATGCCTCACATCTATAGGTGATATACCACGGCTAGCGCGGAATATGTCGTCTACCAAGGATGGATCAAGTCTTAAAACATATTCGTTTATCAGACCGGCAATAGCTCACTAACATTTGGTCGGACCACTAAGAGATGCAGTCTAGTTTTGGGTTCAACTCGTCTCAGAAAGCAAGATGTTATAGCCATTTCCTGATGACTATGACCACGACGAGGTTCCAACTTTCTTCTAAGCTAAAAGTAACGTCTAGTCAACAAGCGTGCAGTGCTGTACCTGTCGATCGAAGCCTCCCTACCCACGTCGTTTGACATCGACGGCGCTCTGTCAGGGTCGTGCCGATCAGGGTACCTATGGGTCTCCGTTGCTAGATTCCTTCTCTGGAACTAGAAAGGAAGCAAGTACCCGAAGCGCGAGATACACCAGTTGTATAACCTTAGGGACATAACTTACATGCCCTTCTACTATAGACATTATAAAGCCGAATCACGCATTAAGAGACCTGCGTCACGAATAGGTAGAGGCTGGTTGGCCTGTTAAGTTCTAGAGACTCGCAATCTGGTTGGTACGTTGGTCACCGGTCAAGCTACAATGCATGAAAACCGTGAGAGTATCAATCTGACCCCCACGACTCCTTAGTATTCCGGGTTCCACGTTATCTCAGTGCTCGGAATTGCCCATATATTCGCTGTACAATAAGAATATCAATCGTACCCTATGGGATCAACCACCCATATACCGCTCTAATAGTAATATAATCATTCCGACAAGAGCTGATATCTTATAGTAATTCACACACCAAAGATATCTCAAGGTGTCAGGGCCCTTTGCGATAGCCAAGCGAAGCAGCCTTCCATACAAATTTGCATACGTCATGCTTTCGGCATCATGCATTATGTTGCATCGAGGTATCTTTTCCGGTTGTGTTATGTGCCACTTCAAATTTACAGGCACCACCAATGCCGTGAACACTTCGTTGAATATAAACGTTTTTATACACAGTTGTTTCAAACGCTACCTAATTATGTAAAAGTTCAAGAAATTGAAAAGTTTAATCAATATATTACGGATGATACTCTCCGAGACAAGTTGTAATGGATTAACGTGAGCCATGATATTTAATCCTAGGTTCTCTTATGCAGCCAGCAATCTTGCAGAATCTTAATCTACCGATGTGACGATCATCTGCAGCTACCGTTAATAGCAATGGATGCTGCTATCTTGCTTATACTAGTTGTTATGTACGTTCCCATGGAACGTTTGGTTGAGCCTAAATGGAGGCAAATCATATCCACTTTAGTACTAACATATGTACCTACCTGTAGAGAAGTAATTTCTATCAGCAAACTGCAGAGAGCCATGCATCTAATGACCAATTCTGAATTATCATGTACGTATATTTAATATACGTATCTTCTCTGTATATCTTTTGACGTGCCTAGTAAGCTGTAGCTACGTTGCGGAGATGAAACCATCTCAAAGCACTAGTTAGACGGATAGTATTGTTAGAATTAATTCTAACAGTGAATGTGTAGTTATTCTGGTCTTTCCTATCATACTACCTAGGTACCTATTCACGTATAAGTAATTAGTTCCGGACTCCCTTGCTTATTGAATAATATTGTACCTTGTAAGCTAATACAAACAAGACAAAACCCTAGGCGATGTTTTCTCATATACCCACAGCAAACCTCTTACTTGCTAGAACACTTTAACTTCCGAGATAGAAAGCTTGCATTTATTATACTAGTTGTTAAATCTCCAATGCCTACCTAGGAGGTAACTTCCTAATTCACCATATAGTTAGTTAATTCATAGAAAGCAAACTAATTTCTAGCCCATTTCTCTTGTTATTTTCAACCATCTTACTCGAATGCAAATCCGAGACAATAGCAACTAGAGAAAGTCAAATATATATTCTATCCTTAGTGAGTACCTGACTTTTAGTATTTCTCTTAGCTAATTATAGATTATTTATGATCTATGTCGCTATTACCCTAAGTATCAAGTAGAGTACTGATGGCGCAGATGTCTAAATGTTTAACGGTAGTTAACTTCGAATAATTAGGTACTTAAGTCTACTATCTATATAGGGGGCTATATAGAGTCTCTTTGATAAGCGTGATAATTCCTTGGACTAGGAAGTCCACATGAGGTAAGCTGGTACATTCTAGTTGATATCTCTTCACCATTTAAACTAGGAACATACGCGGAGACGGCAGGCATATCATCCATAATCAATTATCTAAGTTAGGTACCTCTCAACCCATGGTCCATGGGCAAATACCCATATGATACCCGAAAAAAAATCTTTTTGGAAGGTCAACGACGGGAAACTGGATCTGTTGCAAGTAGCCGTCGTAGAAGTATTGCTGCCTGACAAACAGAGCAGGTGGTCCATGCACGCTCATTGTGACCCAACACACCATACGTTAACTAAAATCTACAAGTTTTGACTTATCTTATGTTGCCTTATTTCCACGCAGCATAAATCAAAGAACAGGACGAATAGTTTCATTATTATTCCATTTTACGCAAACTTTAATCAACCCATGATGGATATATTTAACATCCTCCACTTCATCTTCCAGTTGGCATTAGGTTGGTTCGAGGACGATTTTCCACCTGAAAAACTTTTTCGAAATGCAAGAATGGAAAAAAGCATTGTAGAGGCCAACTTCTATCATGGGTGCAGCCCATGCTCGCCCAATATGGGCCCAACAGGACCATGGCCCGGTCGCATATACAAAATTCGAGACCCGGAGACCGAGCGACAAATTACACTCGTAAATGGGGAGCTCAAGTTAGAAAAAGACATGGGCAACCAGGGAGGGTATCACTGGCAGTGCATAGAAACAGATGGGTACCTGGGATTTCGGAACCCCAGTAATAACGTGCACATGGGCCATAACAACTGGGGTCAGTTCGTCGCCCGAGAGTATCACCACTGGGGGTGGGAATTCTTTAACACGAGAGCTCATCCAGATGGGGGCCAGCTATTGTTAACAGTTCATGGCAACGAAATGCGGAAAATGGTAGTTGAGAAGGGTACCTTTAAGCTGGTAGAGACAAAGGGTGACGGTACGGCATGGGAATTTGTGGAGGTTCCTACATGAAGCGGTTATGAATATCCATGGGGTTAATACTATAGGTTAAACTTCCTATCTATTGTTGAGTATAGATACGGAAGTGGTTCAATGCTTATATGGTGAAATATATCTGTATCTGAATAATACGCCCAAAAATTAGAATGATAATGAATAAATATACCTATAAATACTAGTTATAAGAGCAACGCATTCTTTTATAATAACAACAATTTTCCTACTTAACCTAGTATATAAGATATAGCTTAGAAGTATTGTAAGGTTGAACTAATATAGCCTCAGCTTTCTGGGGAGTCATCGTCTCATAGTATAAAAGGGGGCTGATTATCAGCATAATTTCGGCAGTATAGTCCAAAGCCAACAGTATAGCACTATAATAAAGACTCATTTTGTTCTAGTCAAGACTTGTATTATATTTAGATTGATATACTAACTTATGGAAATGTGTAAGTGCAACACCTAATGCTTAACCCCTTATATTGCATTAAATATAATGGGCCTAACTATTGCTGTGAATATATGCAATTTTTTATAATTGTATAATAGGAAGGGACGCCATGATTAGGGATACTACGATTAGATATCACAACATCAGCAAGATAAGTTTAGGCGGTTAAGCCAATGTAACATGATAAGAAAAATTAAACGAGTTTACCAGATGCATAAAAGTTGTCATATATCATTGCTTTAAAATTAACCTGGGTTTGGTTCATTTCAATAGCTAAGGCATCATCATGACTTTGGGTCTGTCAGGGTAGTTTCCTAAGAAGCCTAAATAGTATCTATCTGTAAAACACCGAACGCCATGCCAGAGTGATTAGAATTCATCGCAGAATACGAGGCTCTCTATGCATCGTGCTATAAACAACGATTTAGCCTTTAGATCTAAACTGGAGAGATATTCTCTCTGGTATAATCATAGCCTAGATTGATTTAGACTATGTCATCACGACTCTTATTGTATACTGCCAGTCGTTAGGCACCCGCACCATTGAAGGATTATCATCCAGAAGTGGTATTGGGGAACGCGCTGGCTGCTCTACTGAGACCACGGAGAGCGTCGGGCATAGAGCCGGACTGAAGAGTGTTGATGAACTCATCAACAACACTAGGGTCTTCTAAGTCTTGTGCTCGTGTACGGACTAGCCAGTACTCAAAGGGGCCCCCTTTTAACCAAATATTAGCATATGTTAAATAAAGTAAACTAAATCACATGAATTACTTACGATTGAATGCAAGTGCGGTACCAAGCTCTTCACAACGTTCACTCGGAGTATGCTCTGTATGCATGTCGAGGAAGTGGTTGATCATTTTAGAAACGTCCTTGAGCGGCCACTTGCAAGGCGCACTAGGAACGCGATTGGCACCTGCCTCTAGAAACTTCGGCGATGTGCAGAGACGGCACTTCCAGAAACCAAGTCGCTGGAAATTAGTAGTACCCGAGCCATTCAAGTCCATAGCTGGTTGGGCTTCCATGGTCTCATCGTCATCACTGTCTAACGGCTTCGTAGTGCGCTGTCTCTTAACTCCAGAAGTTGAGGCAGGAGTGCCCGTAGCATTGCGATACTGCTGGGTCTTATAGGTAGGGGTAGCCGAGGCAGCAGCGGCAGCTGAGTTGCGTGCCTGGGCATCTAATTGCTGAATCCTGTGCTGGCAACTACGGATGTTGTGGCCACAGTCTAGGACACGTATCTGTAAAGTTCTTACCTCCTGAGGGGTGAGATCGGCAGAAGCAAGCTGATTTCGGCAGAAGTCCAAGTCGTAGCGATATGCACTGATGTCCTCGTTCATCTGACGGCGGGTTATCTCGTTCAGATTGCTACTCTCATAGTTGAGAGAGCGAGGATCTAGGGATCCATTGGCAGCAGACATGACACCGTTAGGGAACTGCAGCCAGGTGTCAATAAATATAAGGCTGCTTACTCATAAGGTACAAGAAGGAAAAGTTGATGATGTCAACTTTTCAACAAAGGATTATATTACCATCGAATTATTGGATAGGTGATAAAGAACTGCAGGATATATTATGAGCATTAACTTACCTCAAAGATTCGGGCGATATCAGGCACGAAGCGCTGGACGAAAGATGGGCGCTGCCGAGACATTGTGGAATAAGGAAGAGGATAATATGTTATATCCTGAGCACCGTAGGAGAAGAAGGGCAATGACGGCAAGAGGAGAACAGGTCGTATATTAACCTGACTCGGCAGTACCGATGGTTGGGTTATGATCAAGAAGGCACGCAGGTAGCCCGGATCAAGATTAACGGAAGTCGCCGACTTCACGGAGCAGGGGCAGGCGTGACATGAATATTATAGATATGCTCGGCCCCGGGCTTCACGTGACTAATTCAAGAACAAGTTAAAGCAATATTAAAAATATGCAATTAACTCTTAATTTAGCAAGATAGATGAAACTAAGTAAATAAAGTCGATGATGTGGTTGGCGAGATAAAAGTGTATAGACAATAGGGGTAGTAAAGAAGAATTATAGGAGGGAAGAAAAAAAAGAAAAGAAAAAAAAAGGGAATGAAAAAAAAAGAGACCGTGGAGAAAAAAAAAAAGAAAAATTTTCAGATTAAAACTTAAGGGTACAACACTACTTTTTTCCAACAAATACCGTTTCTTGTACCTTCCAACTTTACATCTAATTGGCAGGTATATCAAAGGACACCTTTTGATAACGTGCATACCATATTTTTACAGTATGTGGTTTCATATTTCGTTATTGTCGCCTTGTAAGAGGTCAATGTAGTAACTGCTTGCGGCTCAGGTACAAGGTGCAGAGGACGCTAATGGACCAATGAGGTTAGTTCATTTTTCAAGCTTTCAGGACTCTGTTTGTGAGCTGCCCCACCAGATTGCCTGATATAGTAATGATATTTTGATAGCCTTTTCCTTTTTCTTTTCCTTCTTTTTCTTTTCTCTTTTTCTTTTCCATTTAGGAGGCTGTTAACAAATTGGGGGCCTACTATTCGCTAGAAGAGATATAACATGCAGAGATAATCTCATCTGAGACAATTTCTTTTATTTCTCTCGGTGGTACCCTATGGTGCCACATAAGCATGGCTAGCCAGGCAATTTTGTGGTAGGGTCTGGTATTGGCGGCTGTAGAGGTCCAATTGTCGGGTAGCATAGACCTTTTGGTGTAGCAAAATAGGCCTACTAGGGTAGGAGGTAAACATTAATCAAATTATCATGCGGAGAATGGAATTATCCCGGAGTGGGCCCCACTCGGAGCTTCCGGTGGAAGTTGCGGGGTTTCTTGCCGTGCCGGTTTTTGTTGCCCGGGATGGAAAGAAAGTTCGGTGCAGCATTAATACACATGAACACAAATGCTAAGGCATCTCAGACAAAAGAGGGCTAGTATGGGTTGGATAATGACTTGTAGCTTATATACTACTTTATAAATGATTCTAGTTTTCAGAATATTTATTATATGAAATAGTACTATTATAAGGCCTGTAATATCTTTTACAGATCGGTACTTAAGTAGGTAACACATGAATTATAATAAAATATTATTTTAAATTAAAGGTGTTATATAATCTTATGGGAACGTTGGTTATGTGACCTAATTAAAATAAATCTATTTATTTTATATATATTCTTATATATTTTAATTTACAATTAAAATATATATTAAATATTATTAATAATAATTTTTATTTATTATATATATAATATTTTTTTATATTATATATAATATTTTTATTTATTTAATATTAATTAATAATTAATAATAAATTAATTATAAACTAATTAAATACTTAAAAAAAAGAAAATAATTTATGCATTAAATTTTAATAAAAAAAAATAAATAATTTTAAGATTTTATATTTTTATATATAATCTTAAACTTAAAATTTTATAATTTTATATATAATTTTAAAAAATCTTATATTAATTTAAAATTTTTAAATAAAAAAAATAATTTACACGTTAAATTTTAAATTTTAAATCTATATTTATTATATATAAATAAATAATATTAAAATTTTATTTTATTAAATAAATAATTTCGAAAAAATCTATACTAATTAATTTACATGTTTATTACACGTTTTTATTTATAATATATAAAATATTAAAAAAAAACAATAACACTATAAATTATATTATAATTTTACCCTATTAATAAATTTTATATTTTATCCGAAAATTTTTCAACCTCATTTAAAAAATTTTATTTATTAATATTACCTAAAAATTTAATATTTAAAAAAATAATAATATTTAAAAATTATAAAAATATATAATAACGCTGTTTTTTTTTTAACCTTTTATAAAAATAATTTATAAAATAAAATTAAATAAATCTTTTCTTTTATAATATACACTCTAATAATGCCATTTTTTTTATTATTTTTTTTTACTTATCTCTTTTATTATAATAATTAATATTATTATTAACTTTAATTATAATATTATATATTTAATATAATTAAATAAATATAAAATCTTTAATAAAAATATATTAATAATAAAAAATTTAATATAAAACTTATAACCAATAACATAACAAAAACTTTAATAATTTAAATTAAAATATATATAATTAAAAATATATAAAATTATAATAAAAATATAATTAACAAAATTTTATAATATATTTTTAAAATTGATTTTAATAATTAAACCAAAATTTATTTTAATAAAATTAAATATTTATTTCGCATTAAAATAAAAAAATATATTATATTTTATAATATTTATATAAAAAAAATAATTAATAATTATTAAATATTAATAAATATTACTAACACAAAATTATTTCTAATATACCCCAAAAAAAAAACATTTAAATTATTAAAAACCTACCTTTTTAAATTTAAATTTATAACTAATCTAATATATTTATACTTACTAAAAATTATAATAAAAAATATTACAATTAAACCAAATCTAATAATAATAACGCCATTACCGTAATTACCCCTAACAACCCAAATTATAAATACCTAAGCTACAATTATATAAAACCCCATATTAATATTTACGTAACCGTAAACAAAATAAATATAACCTAATTTAATATAATTTATAAACCTTTAACCAATCTTTTAAACACCTCAACAAATTTAAACATTTTAATAAAAATAAATAATTTTTTAATTATAATTAATTTAAATATTTTTAATAATAATAAATAATTTTATATAATAAAACTAACCTATAAAAAATATAAAAACTTTTTTAAAAATAATATAAAAATTTATTAAAAAATTATTTATTTACAAATAAAATAAATAAATAATAATATGTAAATTTTAATTTTTTATTATATTAATTAAATTATATAATAATAATAATTTTAAATTTAAAAATAAAAAATATAAAATATTAAATAAATAAATTTAAATCTTTTTATTTTATTATTATAAATTTAAAATTAAATTAAATTTATATATTAATATATATAATATTATATTAAAAAAAATAATATTAAAATTTTTTTATAAATATTTTATATAAAAAAATTTTAACTTTAATATAATAATTAATAAAATAAAAAAAATTTTTTATATAAATAAAAATCTTTAAATATATATATTTAAATAAAAAAATATAACAATTAAAAATATTATATAAAATAACCTTAAAAAAATATTATTTAAATATCTTAAAATATTAATTATATAAATATAATATATTTATAAAAATTTATTAATTAATTATATTAAAAAAATCTATTTTAAAAAAGGTTTATATTATATTATATAAAAATATTTAATATTTTTATCCGTTTTTTTTTAATAATTAAATATGTTTAAAAATATTTATACCAATTTTTGCATAATAATAAATAATATATATTAAAATTTTTTTAATAAATTTAAAATAAAAAATAAATAATATTATACTAATTAATTTTATTAAAAAAATTAAAAACCTTATTAAATAAATTAAAATAAAAATAAATATTTTAATAATTAAAAATATATTAAATATAAAAAAAAGAAATATTTTATTTATAATAAATTAAATTATTAATTTATTAAATATTTTATATATAAATAACGTAATAAACGTAATTAATAATGTTAATATATATAAAAATATAAAATAGGAAATATTAAA